GGAAGGATGATGTTGCCACTAACTAAAATGAAGAAGACTATGGAAGGAGCATATATTTTTGGAGAAATGAAGACCTTAGGTTGGACACAGTTGAGATGACTTTTAAACTTTCATGGGGGTAGTTTAGTAGGCTGATATATGATCTGGAATTCAATAATAGGTCAAGTGACAGAAATCACTGAGGAATATAGAAGATTTAGACAACAATCAATTCATGTGACATAATGAACATAAAGAATACAGCACTTCCCAATACACATACTTGTCAAAGACCTATGAAACATTTACAAATATTAACTAGGCCATAAGACAACCACAGTAAATGCTAAGGGAATGAATGATATTATATAAACATTTACAGATTTGTACAAAGCTATAATTCAGAGGAAAAACAAGGTAATCCTGCCTTCCCATCAGTAACAGGTAGGACTAGATCATATGCTGATCAGTTTAATGTTGATCAGTTTAATCTTCATCTTTGAGGCTTTTGTTTTGGTTTTTTAGTCCATACCTTATTTGCTGTATCTGAGCTTACTTTTGAGGTGTTTAAAAAGTCATTTTGCCCAATTAACACAAAGGTACTTTAAGGGTTGAAAGTGCTTATAAAAAGAGGTGTATGGGGCACCTGGGTGGCTCAGTTGGTTAAGCATCTGACTCTTGATCTTGGCTCAGGTCATGATCTCATGGTTCATGAAATTGAGCCCCATATTGGGCTCTGCACTGACAGGGCAGGGGCGTACTTGTGGTTCTCTCTCTCCCTGTCTTTCTTCCCCTCTTCTCTCTCTGTGTGTTTCTCTCTCAAAATAAATAAATTAATTTTTTTAAAGAGGTGTGTAATGGAAACAACAAAAAATAATTTTTAATGATTTACTTTGGAATACTTCTAAACTTACCGAAAAATTGCCGTAATAAAAAGAATTCCCATATCTCCCTCATCCATATTCTCCAATTATTTCCTTTATATTTCATTTTCTTCTCTCTGTGTGCCACACACACACACATGCCCACACACCATTTGTCATTATTAGTATTTTTCTGAACCTTTCAAGGGGAATCTAAGGATGTGATGCCCCATCACTTCTAAACATCCCTGTGGTTATTTCCCCCAAACAAAAGGATATTATTTAATATAACCAGCATACAAATCTCCAGATCAGGAAGTTAACCTTAGTACAAACTACCGTCCAACTCACAGACCCAATTCAAATGTCATCAACTGCCCCAACAATATGTTTATTCATTGTGATCCAGGATGCCCTCTAGGAATGTATGTTCCATTTGGTGTTCATGTCTCTTCAGATTCCTTCAATCTGGAACAGTTTCTCTATCTTATCTGTTTTCCATCTCCTTGAGAGTATTCTGTAGAGTGACCTTCCACTTAGATCCATGTTTCTGTATGACCAGATTCAAATCATTTAATCTTTGCAGAAATACGGAAATACTACAAATCTTTGAGAAAATGATTCTGTGCCCTTGAAGAGTACACAATGTACATCCATCTCACTACTGATAATATTAACTTTGAAGAGAAGAGCCAGTTTGTTTCCTGCTTTGGAAGACAGAGACGGTGTCTTCCTTCAGAGCAAAGAGCAGGCATGCTCACTGCCCATTATAAAAGACTTGGACCTCTAAGCTCAGATTTCCTCTCTAAGCAACCCACTTATGTGTGTGTAGGTGTTACTTGGTCCTCTTCACATTTTTCTAAGAGAATAGGGGTTCCTGAAACTGACACAAAATTTATGATACTCTTGTACTGCTATGCTATGAGTCATAAACTGTCCTTTGTCTCTGAACCAGGTGTTTCATGTTTTCTGCAATTATCTATGAAATGTGGCAAACTAACTTATTAGCTTGCCAGTAGGAAAACTCTCAAACACATCACTTTTTGACAATGTGATCTGGTCCAATAACCTGTCTGACCTTCTCTCTTAAAACTCTCCCCTTCTTTATTGCCTCTCTAGTCACACTTGATCATGGCAAGAAAGTTTCCACTTCATGGGCCTTGAACTCATTATTTTCTGTCTCCCCAAGGATCCACAGAGGTCATTTATTCACCTTCATGAGTTCTTTATTCAAATATCACCTCCCTTAATTCCACGTGCATACACCCTAATTTTTCTCTCTAGGACATATCAACATATATCATTCCACTACACACCATTTTAGGTTAAAATCCAAAACACTGACAACACGAAATGCTGACAAGGGTATAGCAGCAGCAGGAACTCTTATTCATTGCTGATGGAAATGCAAAATGGTACAGCCACTTTGGAAGACAGTTGGACAGTGTTTCACAACACTAAACATATTCTTACCAATGATCTAGAAATTGCACTCCTTGATATTTAACCAAATGAGCTGAAAATTATGTCCACACAAAAAGCCCACATGCAGATATTCATAGCACCTTTCTTCATAATTGCAAAAACTAGGAAGCAACCAGGATGTGCTTCTGTAGATAAATGAATAAATAAGCTGTGGTACATCCATACAATGTAATACCATTCAGCATTAAAAGAAGTGAACTATAAAGAAATGAGACATGAAGACATGGAGGAAACTTAAAATGCATATTACTAACTGAAGAAAAGCCAAGCTGAAAGGGCTTCATACCATGTGATTCCAACTATATGACATGCTGGAAAAAGCAAAACTATGGAGACCATAAAAATATTGGTGATTACCAGTTGTTAAGGAGGGATAAATGGGCGAAGCACAGAGGATTTTTTTTAAGTTTATTTGAGAGAGGGTGCACAAGAGAGAGCAAGGGAGGGGCAGAGGGAGGGAGAGAGAGAGAGAGAGAGAGAGGTAGAGAATTCCAAGCAGGCTCTGCACTGACAGTGAAGCCTGATCTTATGAACCATGAGATCATGACCTGAGCCTATATCAAGAGTCAGACTCTTAACCAACTGAGACACGCAGGTGCTCCCAAAGGATTTTTAGAACAGTAAAACTACTCTGTATGATACTATAATGGTAGATACATGTCATTATACATTTGTCAAAATCCACAGAATGTACACCAAAAATGATCCCTAATGTAAGCCATGGACTTTGGATGATAATTATATGTCAATGTAGGTTCATCAGTTGTAACAACTGTATGACTCCATAGCAGGATGTTGATAATGAAGAGGTTATATATGTGGGATTATATATGCAGAGCAGGTTAGTATATGGAAACTGTACTTTCTGCTCAGTTTTGCTATGAACCTAAAATTTCCCTAAAGATAGTTTATTTTTAAAAATACTGTGCAATAACATTTAGTATAATAGCATAAGAAGCAATAGGTGAAATATGCTAATATCAGAGTCTCATGAAGATAGATTATTGAGTGGAAAAAGTAAATACATTATGCATAGTTTGTATATAATATGGTTTCTTTTATGTGAAATAAATCAGATGCTAGATATACACACACATTAATTATATGTGCATCAGAAAATACACTGGCTACATATTCAATAAACTGTTAACAGTGGCTTATGGGAATTAAGAGAGGAGAAAGAACAATGGAATTTCATCTTTTTACTTTACGTTCTTCCATAGTGTTTAAATGTCTTATAATGATTATGTTTACCTTAGTAATACTTACAAAAATGACTTCAAAAGGACTTTCACTTTTTAAACTACCCCTGTATTCTTAAACCTTAATTCAGTGTTTTTGAAAATATGGTCCAAGTAACGCCTATGCCAGAAACACCTGGGTGTTTTTTTAAAATATACTTCCTAGACCCCATCTCAGCTCTATTAAGGGTCTGGTCTAGGAGTGAGGAATAGGACTTTACACTCTTACGAGTCATACTGGGAGATTCTAACCTCTACCATTTTGAACTGCAATAAGTCAAAATGAATGGTGTATTGCTTAAAAATCAGCAAATGCCAACACCTCTTGAATAAACACCTACCAGTTACCTGTCAACCGAAGGACAACAATACAGGCCTCGTCCAAAGGGAGAATAGGCAAAATAACTAGGTCAATGATATATGGTGAACCAGCTAAGAAGCACTGTCACATTATAAAATGAGGTTCAAAGAATCTATAGATTCCAGAGAGACAAATACTGCCAAACGTTCAGAACTTTCCTTCTTCCTTTCATAAACACACAGAAGCAACAAATAATATGAGACATTATAAATCTATATAATGATTCTACTTCAATTTATACTGAAATGAATTTACTTAGACTTACCATAAAGGAAAACCCAAAGGTTAGTACTTTCTGAAGAGATACAGATCTAAATTATTCTCAAGTAAACTGATACTTACTTCCATTTACATAGTCACTTTAAACATAACCTTGACTTGATTACATTCTACAATTTTTTTTTAATTTTTTTTTTCAACGTTTATTTATTTTTGGGACAGAGAGAGACAGAGCATGAACGGGGGAGGGGCAGAGAGAGAGGGAGACACAGAATCGGAAACAGGCTCCAGGCTCTGAGCCATCAGCCCAGAGCCCGACGCGGGGCTCGAACTCACGGACCGCGAGATCGTGACCTGGCTGAAGTCGGACGCTTAACCGACTGCGCCACCCAGGCGCCCCTACATTCTACATTTTAATCAGAAATAAAAAACTAAAGAATAATTCATACAGTGGTATCTTCTATCTTGCACAATTGGAATCATCTGTTTGGAAGCATTTTTAATGTAAGACATTCCCAAGAATCTCAATTTTTTGAGATAAGAATAAAACATTCTCATAATCTATGCATCTGATGCCTCTCTATAATATAATCGATCTAGAGCAGAGGATCTATGCCACACAGTACCAGCCAAAAGGAGCAGAGTTACCAGAAGTAATAGAAGGCTTTTCAATAATTGGCCCCATTACAATAAGTCCACATTTAGTGGGATTAGAACAAGTTTACCATGGTTCAGTTTATTTAGCAAGGAGCAACTCTTGGAAGATAAGGTAAGTTGTTAAATGATAAAATTAAATATACTGTATACATGAGCAATACTAATTTTTTTTAATTCATGTTTTTGTTTTGTTAGCTTTATCTATAAGTGATCCATCTTTCAGAAGCCATGAATTATCCTGGATGTCTTTTGCTTCCTTCCGTATTCAGAAAAAGACACATATTCAGTTGCAGTTTCAGCCTCTTTCTGCAGATGGCATCTTATTTTATGTTGCGCAGCACTTAAAAGCACAATCAGGTAAAGTTGGTGGGATATTTGCAGGGGGACAAATCGTAATGAATTCCTAATTAAGAAATATATAATAGAGTATTTTTATTTCTTTAAGTCACCTAGCCTATAAAATATGTAAACATTTGATACTTCTAATGTTCTGTTATCGCTGCAAGTGAATGTTTACGAATTGACTCCCTAAATATAAATTTTAGTAAAATAGCAAGAGGTGGGGCACCTGGGTGGCTCAGTTGGTTGAGCATCTGACTTCGGCTCAGGTCATGATCTCATGGTTCCTGGGTTTGAGCCCCGCATTGGACTCTGTGCGGACAGCTCAGAGCCTGGAGCCTGCTTCAGATTCTGTGTCTCCCTCTCTCTCTGCTCCTCCCCTGTCTGTGCTTTGTCTCTCTCTCAAAAATAAATAAACATTAAAAAAATAAGAAATAAATAAAAAAAAAATAGCAAGAGCTATGTTAGAATTGAAGTTAGCAAAATTCACATACAGTATATTCTCAACTGTATAACCATCCCATCAAAAAAGAGGTTGAAGCCAAGCACAATAGCCCTATGTCAAAAGGAACAAAATATGTATATAAAAGATAAAGGAAAGGAAGGCATGAATGATGTGTTTCCAGTAAATCCACCCACATTTAGAGTTCCAAAAATTTTAAGTTATTCTGTTATCTAAATAGTAAACCTAGGATTCACATTCCAAAATAAGTTGGTAAAAATATTTTTATTAAAAAAATTTTTAACGTTTATTTTTGAGACAGAGAAAGACAGAGCATGAATGGGGGAGGGTCAGAGAGAGAGGGAGTCACAGAATCCAAAGCAGGCTCCAGGCTCTGAGCTGTCAGCACAGAGCCCGACGCGGGGCTCAAACTCACAGACTGTAAGATCACGACCTGAGCCGAAGTCAGACACTTAACCGACTGAGCCACCTAGGCGCCCCAAAATATTTTTAACTATTAAAAGTAGCACAATCATTGCAAAGCAATATGGAATAAAAATATCCACGTAGTATGCTCCAGTTTGAAAAATTGTTTTTGAGTTTTTATTACTTTACTGTTGGTTTCCATTTTCATAGGTTTTTCTCCCGAATTTTGACAAAGACATTTGGTTTTATAGTTATAATTCTTTTTTTTTTTTTTTAATTTTTTTTTCAACGTTTTTATTTATTTTTGGGACAGAGAGAGACAGAGCATGAACGGGGGAGGGGCAGAGAGAGAGGGAGACACAGAATCGGAAACAGGCTCCAGGCTCTGAGCCATCAGCCCAGAGCCTGACGCGGGGCTCGAACTCACGGACCGCGAGATCGTGACCTGGCTGAAGTCGGACGCTTAACCGACTGCGCCACCCAGGCGCCCCTTTATAGTTATAATTCTGTTGCAAAATATATAAATTTTATATTTGGCTGTTCTTTCATCTTGTTTCTCAGAAAATGAAATTTTGGTATTGGGAAATAATTAAATAAGCTTACTTAGTTTCCCATAGTCAACAAAAATGGTTTCCTGATTTTCACAATGTAATCTAAGTATTCTTTTAAAGGTGTCTTAATATGTTGCTAAGTGATTAGAATATCAGGGAATTAGACTAAAGTGTTTCCATCTCAATGCACTGGTAAAATACCTTCAAAATAATTTCAAGGAGAAAAGATAATTTCAAAGAAAAAAAAAGATAACATGATTGAGCTACAAAATATACATTAGAAGAGATTTGTTTTCCTGAGAGTTGATATTTTATTTTAAATTCATGATTAAATCTCCCTGTGAAAATGCTAAAAGGAAGAATTGTACATAAACAGAAAATTTATACTTATAAATCAAGAGACATTAAAAGACAATCAGCTTTAGGAGTGCATGCATGACTTAGCTTGGTTAAGCATCCATCTTTTGATTTCATCTCAGGTCATGATCTCATGGTTTGTGGGCTCGAACCCCACGTAGGGCTCTGTGCTGACAGGTCGAGCCTGCTTGTGTGGGATTATCTCTCTCCCTCTCTCTCTCTGCCCCTCCCCTACTCGTGCTCTCTCTGTCTCTCTCTTAAAATAAATAAACTTTATAAAAAAACAATCAGTTTTAGTTATGTTGCTCATAAAAAAAACCTCAGGATTAACCTTTGTATGATAAGGGCATAAAATCAAGGTATATTTGGAACAGTACTGGCCAAGAATGTTGTACTATAGTTTTATAATTAGTACACTAGATACATATTTGTGTTTATGTATGTAAAATAAAAAGCTCGTACATATTAACATATGTAGGAAGACAAGAGCACGTTTTCTTTCATCTGTTATTAAATGGCACTGTATTTCAATTCATGTCAGTCAAGATTTTCCTTTTCTCTGCTTTAGACACTGTTTACAAAAAGAGATAATAGATTTATTACTTTCATGTCATGGTTGGTGCTGCATTTGACATGTTAGAAAATCATGAAAACTGTAAAATATTAAAAATCTAAGCTTTACATTTTCAGATTAACCAAAAGGTACTTATCAGATGAAAAGCATAAACTTATTTATTAGTGTTCAATTGGTGTAATGAAGTGGTAACATGTTTCATTTATTTAAGGTTGCATAAAATACAAGTGATGTTCTCATACTTTTTACCTTCTTTATGAGTTATGTTTAATACAACCTTAACTAAGTCTTCTAGCTGATTCTCTGCTAAGAGGAACTTTCAGTAAAAAGTGCCCACTTAGTACACAATGTAAAAAAAAGACAAATTTAGATGTCAACAACCAATTAGGTTTTCATATGTAGAAGACCAAATTCTCAATTAGTAAAGTATCTGTGTCTATTTCGAGGTTAATAATTTTAATAATCTAACATAAAATTTGAAACAAAATGATAATTTCAAAATTATGCTAGTTGATTTTAGATCTTTCATTTTGGAAATAAATTTTAAAGAAATAAATCCTTGGCACCTGTTTATCCATTGCTGGTAAGAATTTAATATCTTAAAGTGAATGTGGGGCACCTGGGTAGCTTAGTTGGTTAAGCATTAGACTTTGGCTCAGGTCACGATCTCATGGTTCATGAGTTCAAGCCCCATATCAGGTGAGCTCGAGCCCCAAGGGTGAGTCCCAATTCTCTCTCTCCCTCTCTGCACCTCATGGGATTCTCTCTCTCTGCCCCTTGCTCACTTGCACCCTTTCTAAAAAAAAAAAAAAAGATCACCCTTTGCGATCTTTAGGAAAAAGTGTTTTGATACATAAAAATTATTAATATTATGTTAAGCACAAATTGATCATGGATAGCCTGAATTCATCTTGCTATAGTTAGAAGCCTCACAAATATGTTTTTAAAAAGCCTAGTCATCCCGGGCGCCTAGGTGGCTCAAGTCCCTTTAAGTGTCCGACTTCAGCTCAGGTCATGATCTTGAGGTTGGCGAATTCAAGCCCCACATGGGGCTCTCCGCTCTCAGTGTGGAGCCTGCTTCGAATCTCTCAAAAATAAACATTAAAAAGAATAACAACAGGGATGCCTGGGTGGCTCAGTCAGTTAGGCATCCAACTTCAGCTCAGGTCATGATATCATGGTTCATGAGTTAGAGCCCCCTGTCAGGCTCTGTGCTGGCAGCTCAGAGACTGGAGCCTGCTTTGGATTCTGTGACTCCCTCTCTGCCCCTCCCCGGCTCGTGCTCTCTCTCAAAAATAAATAAAACATTAAAAACAATTTTTTTAAAGAACAATAGCAACAGTGAATTCATTTATGATCACTCCATTTATGAGTTCAGTTTCTTGTAAGGACTGTCCACTAGGGATCAATTTCTAACATATACTTATCCTAATGCCAATCTGTTCTCACAACCCATGACTACAGCACCATATTCTAGTCAACTAAAATAAAAGGTTTGCATGACAAAATCTGTTAATACAGTTACAAGAGCAATCTTAGCTTCCAGGGACACAAAGGGGGAAAAGAAAAACACCTTTTTTGGTCAGTTCTTCATAAGACAACATACCAGCAAAACTGCATTAAAATAAGCCTTCCTTTATTCTCTTTGCACTTAGAGTTGGCAACTTGATATTATAGATTGCAGCTTTAGCTTTCCTAATCATTTTTTACTGTTTTTGGGGTTTTATTAAGTTTATTTTGAGAGAGAGAAGGCGTGTGCAAGCGGGGGAGCAGCAGAGAGAGAGAGTGAGGGCAAGAGCGAGAGCGAGAGCGAGAGAGAGAGAGAATCCTAAGCAGGCTCCACATTCAACATGGAGCCCCCATGGGGCTCGATCTCACAACCGCAAGACTATGACCTGAGCCAAAATCAAGATTTAGATGCTTAACAGACTGAGCCACCCAGCCATTCCTAAAGGTGATTTCTTAATTCAATAATTGTTTATTTAGCATCTAAGTATGTGCCAGGTGCTGTGCTAGGTGCTGGGGATAAACCGTTGGGCCAAATCAGACACAGACCCTGTTTCCATGAAGCTTACGAGCTAGTGGATGAGGCTGAGGCACCTATTAAATAATCACAGGTATAATGACAGATTACAGTCACTAGAAATTCTCTATGAGGAAAATGATTCAGAGAACCATACTTTGCATGGGCTCATATAGTTTTCTGAAGTTGAAATCATAGGTTTAGGACTATAGACCTACATATTCCAGTCTTCTTAGAATAATGGTGGGAAGGGGACCACAAAGGGGAGTAGAAGGAAAGGACACTGTGGGAGAGAGGTGAGGCAGTGTTGCACTGCCCAAGGAGAAAAGGAAGAATAGCATGTGCCAAGAAATCTCCTTGGATAAGAAATTTTATTGGTTGTGAAATGTTAGGGAGAAGGGAAAATGCTATCTTGAGGAAGACATCTGCAGGATTTGTTATGTAAATCACTTTGCTAACCTCTTGAAGCAGCTTTACCCTTGAAGGGCCACATTCTTTTCTTGGCACAGAGAGCTGCATTTACTTTTCCTTTGAATGCCTCACTGCAACTTCATACACAGGCTAGATCATATTTATTCACATTTGTTCCCAGATGACTATATAATTATAAAATGAGGTAAACATTGTGAAGGAGAGAAATGTGGTGCTATCAATAAAATAAAATAAAAAACCTGACCAACTCTGTGGAATCACAGAACAGTTCTCTGAGGAAGTGGCATTTGATCTCAGACCTGAAGGATAGGAGTTTCCTAGATGAGGTGCGATGAGGTGGAGTGTTCCAAGAAAAAGAAAACAATGTGCACAAACGTTCAGAGGCAAGAACAAGGTCAGTGTTGCTGGAGTAAAGAGAGTGGAGGAAGAGGGAGAATACACTCCGGGTGAAGCTGGAGAAAGGGGCTGGGAAACCTGCAGAGCCTCTGTAGATGTTAAAGATTTTAGGCTTTTATCTCAACAGCAAATGCCATTAAAGGGTAGTATAATGACCAGATCTTTTCAGTTGAAAAGATCACTTTAGCTTCAGTTTAGATTCGAAATTCAATTAGGAAGGAAGAGTGAAGAGGCTCTAGCAAATAGATTGAGCTAGAAATAAAGCTAGTGAATCTAATGAAGATGGCAAAGGCGGACAGAATCAAGATGTTTGCAGTGAACCAAAATGTTAATAAACCTGCTTATGTGTGGAAATCAGGGATCACAGCTAAATTTTTAGTTTGAAGAACTGGAGGATGAGGAAGTGACTGAGTTTGCAAAGACTGGAAGATGCCAGGTGTATGGGAGAAAGTTCACAAACTGAGATACGAAATTTAGAGAGATCTCAACTAGGGATGTGTGTAGTAGACAGAACTTGATGCCAAGGACATGGCTGAAACTTTTTCATAGCACCCGTATTAACTGTTCTTAACTCTTTTACTGCCTCAATCTCTGTCAAAAAAGCAGAATCAGATGTCTGGAGTAAAAACATCTTTAAAAAAGCTTTTTACACATTCATCCTTAAGTAGATAAAATCATTAAAGGTAAACTTCACTTTAACTTAGTACCGCAATACATTTCATTCAATGCAAAATATTTACAACTAGGAAAAGCTTATGTGGCCAATTCCTGAATAATACAGGATATATGTATGAATAAATACCCATATATTTTCATCTATAGATGGAAATAAAATTCTCTAACGTTGTGATCAAGACTTGCCTTTTTTTGCCCAAAACCAAAACTTACTCAAATGGCCAGAAAGGGCAAGAGTTTTTAATGGAGTAACATTTTCCTGTTACTAATTAACTGGTTTTCTTTCTCAACAGGTGATTTTTTATGTATCTCCTTAGTAAATGGTTCTGTTCAACTTCGCTACAACCTTGGTGACAGAACTATCATTCTAGAAACTCTCCAAAAAGTGACTACTAATGGAAGTATTTGGCATGTGATTAAAGCAGGAAGAGTTGGTGCGGAAGGCTACCTGGATCTGGATGGGATAAATGTAACAGAAAAAGCCAATGCAAAAATGAGCTCCCTGGACACAAATACTGACTTCTATGTTGGAGGAATGCCATCTTTAAATCTTGTAAATCCTATGTCAATAGCAAATGAACCTGCAGGTTTTCAGGGCTGTGTCCGAGAAGTTATTATAAATAATCAAGAGTTAAAATTAACTGAATTAGGAGCAAAAAGTGGAGCAAATGTAGGTGACTGTGATGGGACCCCCTGTGGGTACAAGGTGTGCAGAAATAGGGGTGAATGTATAGTAAATGGCACAACTTTTTCTTGCAAATGTTTGCCACATTGGACTGGAAATACATGTAACCAGTCTGTGCACTGTTCAAATAATCTTTGTCTCCACCAATCTCTATGTATACCCGACCAATCATTTTCTTACAATTGTTTCTGTGCTTTGGGTTGGGTGGGAAAGTATTGTGAAAACAAAACTTCATTTTCAACTGCAAAATTTATGGGTAATTCTTATATTAAATACATTGATCCAGATTACAGAATGAGAAACCTTCAGTTCACTACTATATCCTTAAATTTCAGTACTACTGAAACAGAAGGCTTAATTGTATGGATAGGAAAAGCTCAAAAGGAAGAAAATGATTTTCTAGCAATTGGTCTCCATAATCAGTCCTTGAAAATAGCAGTTAACTTAGGAAAAAGCGTATCTGTGCCTATGATCTATAGCAATGGCACATTCTTTTGTAATAAATGGCACCATGTAAGTGTAATTCAAAATCAGACTGTTATTAAGGCCTACCTAGATAACAACCTAATTCTCTCAGAGGATATTGATCCACACAAAAAATTTGTTGATTTAAACTATGATGGCATTAGTTATCTAGGGGGATTTGAATATGGCCGAAAGGTAAATACTGTTACTCAAGAGATTTTTAAAAGAGATTTTGTTGGCAAAATTAAAGATGTATTTTTTCAGGACTCAAAAAAAATTGAGTTAATTAAATCAGAAGGGTATAATGTTTTTAATGGAGATGAACAAAATTAATGACATAAATACTGGTAATTTTGATATACAAAATATATATGTAAATGTATTTTGATAGCTATTTGTGGCACATTATTTACTAAAATTAGCTATTTACTATTAACTGAAATAGTCTAAATGCTAACATACCTTATTTATAAGCTTATAAAATATAGCTAAAGAAATGATTTTGGTTGGTTTTCCTACATCCAATATCTATAAACATGTTGATTCGAAAGTTTTCACTCCATTAGTTCATGTAGTGTTTATTCATCTGTGAATTGGTTTTAAATGATACAAAGAAAAATAAAATAAAAAGCAAATTATTAACCAAAGGAAAAATAAAAATTATATAAGAAAAAAACTACACAATCATATTCTGTTATATGGCTCAGCTATGAATATTTATATGATTGTAATAATATGAAATTTAAATATGTACTAAAACCAAAGTTATTGCATGAATGTGGGAAGATGGAAGGTGGAGGAAAGGAGTTGGCTGGTGAGGGTTAAACATTTAAATCCCATAGTAAGACATTAATAGATACCACAATTGTTGCAACCTTTTTTAAAGCATACATGTCACAAATATGAAGACACATATCCTAAGAAATATCTAAAAGAACTGAAAATAGTAACCTCTGGAGAGGAGTAGTGCAAACATTGCGGGGTTTTGTTTACAAACCTTATAAAATTACTTGACTTTTTAAGCCATGTACTTACATAACTGATCAAATTTAAAAATTAAACTTCATTTACACCTAAATTTTCAAGTCTACAGATCTCAAAACTGAGCATTAAATAGGTTCTGAATAATGCCATTGAAAAATTATTGTACTGATTGTATCTATGCCATCAAAAATAGTAACCTGAGAAAATTCCTTTTACCCAATCACCAGTTATTGATATAATTGTAGATAGCATTTTCTCTCCCCACCCCACCATTGCATATTGGGAAGTAGTTATTGCTGCTGTTATTTAGCATTTTTAGAGTGTGGTATTTATGACAATTTGGCCACCAAGAAAGCAAATGACGACACGACTGACACAATACACTAATAGGTATGACTATACCTGGAGAGAAAAAATTTACCTTGGTAATAAGCAACATGTGAAGTTTGAAAGGAAAGATATATTAATTATTAAATGGAGAAAATGGTTTACAAATAAAGGGGCAGGTGCATGGTTAGCTGCTCATTGCTATTAAGCAAAATCTGCCTGTACAGTTTCCAGTGTATACAAAGAAACTAACCAATTTATCATTTGAAGAATTAAAAAAAAATTTTTTGCAGGGGGGCACTTGTTTTTGCCACACCATTGCAATCAGAAGGCTACAGATACTATTGGAGGGCCCCAGAACTAAAGTTAAGAACTTTGGCACCATTCAATGGCACACAACATACCCCCAGGTATATGACATTAGAAAAGGTGTGTGAGCAAAGTATAATGTAAGGTAGAACTACAGAATGTCTATATACTGATTCCAAGGCTGTGTGTGTGTGTGTGTGTGTGTGTGTTGTTCTGTTTTTTAACAGAAACCATGTAAGAAAACTCCATCCAACAATATTGGCTGAAAAACTGTGACCTAAATTTGTTTTGTCCCATACCATTTCATCTAACTTTGGTGATATTAAGATAATAACTGATCTTTAAAAAATTCATTTTGATGGCTGATAATTAGATCTCACTTTAAAGACATACATTTTATGTATAAAGCTAATAAAGCTGTTCTCAAAGGTTACCAAAGTTCCAATGAACCACACCCCCATGATAGGCTACATGTTCTCTCATGATACAAAGTGCCTATCATTAAAGCAGCACTTCCTTAAGTATAAAACAAGGAACTCTGAGAGCCCCTAAGTCTTCTGGGGATCCACAGAGTACTTCCTTTCTCAATGACAATTCCATGTGAAGCCAGGTTTTCTTCATATATTTCAAATGAGATGACATATTGCAAAACACTGAATGCAGAGGCAGTTAAGAGAATCCAGAGATGTGCAAAAATGAAGACCATGACATTCTTACCAAATTTAGTGTAAGTTATTTTTCACACAAATTTACATTAACATAAGGATCATTGTTAAATAAGTTAACAATTATTTGTAAATTATAACATCTTAATTTCTAATATGCTAAATGGTACAACCCATTTTTTGGGTTCTCAATAACTTTTTAAAGAGTAAAAAGATCCTGAAACCAAAAAGTTTGAGAATTACTGTTAAAGTTGCTTCTCACAGCTGCAGTTTCACATGAAGATGTGATCACTTGTCTTCTGCACTACACTGCAAGCTCCAAGACTGGAGGCGAATTGTACCATTCAATTCCAAGAATCAAGCACCAAATAGAATAGGCACCAAATAAGTAAGAATTTAAAACTGCTATCTACCAATTTCCTATAAATCAAAATGACTCGAAAACTTTTTTTTTTTTTTTTACTGTAAAATCTAAAATTTCATGTGGTGGGAGTACCTGGGTGGTTCAGTCAGTTAAGTATCAGACTTCAGCTCAGGTCATGATCTCTGGGTCATGTTGCCCCTCTCCAACTCCTGCTCTCTCTCTCAAAAATAAATAAAACATTTAAAAATTTTTAAATTTCATGTGAATTATCATTATTCATTTTTGCTATCTTTGGGATGATAGTGTTGAAGATTTCCTGTGTTTTTCCAGCACAAAATAGAAATAATTGATACAGAAACCCTTTAAGATAACTTTACTATAAACATTACAATGCTTCTGAAACACAAAGTGTTGAATGTAAACATGTTTTATAGTACGGTGAATGCCTCATATCTGTCAGAAAGGTTAAAATTAACACAGGAAACAATAGAGGATGCAGACGAGGCTACAGAATAAAGGGAACACTTTTGCACTGTTGGTGAGAATACAAACTGGTGCAGCCACTCTGGAAAACAGTGTGGAGGTTTCCTTAAAAAAATTAAAAATAGAACTACCCTATTAGGGATCCAGCAATTGCACTACTATGTATTTATCCAAAGGATACAAAAACGCTGACTCAAAGGGGCACATGCACCCCAATGGTTATAGCAGCACTATCAACAACAAATTATGGAAAAAATCCAAATGTCCATCCACTGATGGATAAAGATGTGGTGTGTGTGTAAATACACACAATGGAGTATTTACTCAGCGATGAAAAAGAATGAAATCTTGCCATTTGCAACAATGTGGGTGGACCTAGAAGGTATTATGCTAAGTGAAATAAGTCATTGAAAGACATATGATTTCACTCATGTGAAATTTAAGAAACAAAATAGATGAACATAGAAGGGAAGGAAAAATATAACAACAAAGAGGCAGGCAAACCATAAGAGACCCTTAAATACAGAGAACAAACAGGGTTGCTGGAGGGGAGGGTGGGCAGGGAGATGGGCTAAATGGGTGATGGGCATTAAAGCGGGAACTTGCTGGGATGAGCACTGGGTGTTACAGGTGATGAATCACTAAATTCTACTTCTGAAACCATTATTACACTATATGTTAACTTGATTTAAATAAAAAAATTAAGGCAATGTTTATCTTTTAAAAGATTCAACAAAGTTGCTGCAAAAAATTGACTTGGGGACAGAGGAGGGAAGTATTCTCTTTTAAAATAAGGAATATTTTTAAAGTACAGCTTGGGCAGATATGTCCATACACACACTGAATTACTTCACAGAAAAAGGTATTTAGGGATATTGGTAGTTATACTGAATTCACTGCCTCCTTTAAGTACTCTGGTTTCCCCCACCCAAAGACTCTGTTCTGCATCTATAAAGTAGACTCGTGTTTTCAAGACCTTTCTAGCTCTTAACCTAAAATTTCTTGCTCTATACATGAATTACTGAAATTCTTTATGAAACAGGAATCAAAGAATCAGGGTTGACACCTTTTTAAAAGTAGTAACCAATTCTATTCAAGATTTGCCTTGGGAGACAAATAGTCATTAGTAAGTGGTAACTTGACCAGTGTTTTAAAGGGATCTGAGCAGACTGAAATAGTGCAACTGGTACATTTAAATGTTAAAATTAAGTCAACTATTCACTTTAATAAAATCTGGTTCATTAGCAAGCTCTCATAATGCATTTTAACTTGATTCATATCCTTCTTTAAAAACATAGCTACAATTAAAAACTAAGACCATACCTGATTAGAAATTTAGCAGTTAACTAGTTTTATATAGCCAAGTGGTTTAACTGTCACTCCATTTTCTTATCTATTGTTGGTTATTTTTCTTAACTTTTAAACATATTTACTATGATCCTAGATGTGTTTTAACTCCAAAAATTTAGTTCACCCACAAGTTACAATCAGCAAGTCAAGAATTGTGGTAAATAGAATGGTCCCTTAAAGTTGTCTACATCCTAATCCCTGGCACCTATAAATAGGTTATATGGCAAGAGGGAATTGAGGTCTCAAATGGAACTCAAGTTCCTCATCAGCGACCTTAAAATAGGAAGGTTATCCTGGATTACCTGGGTGGGCCTAATATATCACAAGGGCCCCTTAAAAGTGGATGAGGGAATCAGAAGGATCAGAGGTGGCTTTGAATTGAAGGAAGGGACCTTGAGGCAAGGAAAGTGAGTGGCCTCTAAAAGCTGGAAAAGACAAAGGGAATGGATTTTTCTCCTAAGGCCTCCAGAGAAGGACACGTTGATCTCAACCTGAGATCTGCATCAGACTTCTGATCTACAGAAACGTACAATAAAGTTGTGTGGTTTTAGGCCACTAACTTTTTAATAATTTGTCACAGCACCAACAGAGAATAAAAGAGAACTTGAGAATTAGGATTTGAAACGAAGATAAACTTTGCAGATCTATACAAGGGAACCCACACTTTTCGTCTTCCTGCTCACTTTGAGGAGTTGGGCTATTCACCACAGACAGGCTGGTGGAATAGAGAGGAAAAGGGCTATGAAAAGCATATACGGTAATCAGGCTTTTGTCCCTCTCTCCTGTTCTCAATTTTCATACAACTGGCATGCAGACTTTGAAGAAAAGTGGAACTGAGCTAAATTCCAGTTCTGACAATAGCAGTCTAACCTTGGGCACTTTTTTTTTCTTTCCCCCTAAGTACAAGTTTCCTCAAGAGACCTCTGAGGTAAGTCAGTCTTCACCTTTCAGGCTGCCCAAGGTTTATATAAAGTGCTCCACACAAGCTCTGACATAACAGAGGGCTCACAGAGGCTTTCTTATTGCAAGGATGACAAGAGGTGGACTTTTTGGTATTGAGACACCCTGGTACATTTTACTTAAGAGAGGTATGTAGAATCTGTCTGAAGATGGTTCTAAATTTTAAAAAGCATCAAATTTTTTGAAGATTAAGCTTTCCTTAAGACAGGAGAAACAAAGAGGAATCTCATTTAACTCATATTTGTGTTAAAGCTGGTTTGTAGGTGAGACTTTAAAAGACTGAGAATGGCTTTGGATCTACTAATCACTGAAAATTTTTCTCATTTCCCTTTCCTCCCAAGTTAAAACCTCAGTCAATATGCCTATACTCCCCCTAATCACCACAATGTTTCAGTCAACAAGGGTAAGAGACCTGGTTTTAACACTTAGTAGCCCTGTAATCTCAGGAGATGGCCACCACTAATAGGAGCCTCTATGAGATCAAGCTCCAATGAGATATGAAAGCATCACAATATATATAAGAAACTACTGGCTAAGAAGTAATAAAAAACTAACTTAAAGGCTTTCTTCCATTGGTTAACCCATTTTTACCTTACCAAACAAACAAAAAAAAATTCAATGTCTACTCAACTCCCCCCCACCATCCCTACCAGATTAATCAGGGGAAGCAGACTTACTAACATACATAGTTGAAATCAAAAAGGTAATTTTTTTGGTTTGAGGGATTTGTTTTTGGTTTTTGTTGTTTTTTAAGTAAAACCCTGAACAATTTCTTCATAATGCTGCAAAAGATGACCAACCTTAAGTTTTGTATGCAAACTGACTAGTTTTCTAACAAGTTAATTTCCAAAAGAAAAGTAGACCAAAATTAAACAAACTTTATTTCAATACAAGTCCTCTGTTTCAGAACTCTTATGATCATTAATTTCGGAGGATAAGGATGACAAAAAAAAGGGTTGCAAGTTATTGCAAGTTAGACAAAATGTTCGGTTTTGAATTTCAGCTCCTTTTCTCTCCAGTGAGAGCAGCAAAGCTGACTCATTTTCAAAACCTATTTTTAACTGTAATCTTTATACTTTTTAAGAAAATCAATTTTATCTTTTTAATTTTGTGAAGTCATTTATATTTTTCTTCATTAATACAGAGGAGCAAAAATACTGTTTTTTCTTTTTTGGCCTCAAGTGCTAGTAACTTTTGGTAGCTATTGGTTTAAATTATAGCAATCAATACAGTAGGTAATTTAGGGTGTAAGTAAATTTAAATTTGGATTAACAACAGCCTCCAGGTGTTTTCTATTTCAAGAAGTACTAGCATACAAAACTGTAGTTATCCCCCCTCCTCCACCAACAAATTACACCTGTTCCAAAGAGATTCACGTTTCTCTAAAATAAAAGTTCTGAAATGATTAGTCAGTGTACCAAATTTTGATGGTATACAAGTTTTCAGAAACATACCTATAAAGTGAGCTATAGCTACAACAGTTTTTCATTAGTAGTTCTCAATTCATAGCCTCTTTAGAACTACATGATTTACCTCAATAGCCTGTAATCTATGGTACAGAAATCGTTTTTTCCCTCATCTATTGCCTGATTTAGAGAGCTATGGCTCTATGCCCTTGGTGGAGTAAGGGTTTACCATCTGATGATAATTAAAGCTTTAAAGAATACTTTGACTACTGAATTTCAAATCACACACACAAAATAGGTGAGAAATTCTTTTATCATATTTAGAATCAAAATATCCCTTAAAATATTTACATTTTACAGTAAAAAGGATAGCAAAACACAAGATCATGTACAAGCTTAAGTATTCAAGTTTCCAAAGAGCCAAAAATGAAAAGGAAAGAAATGGCCTACCACAAAGTTGTAGTAATGGTAATAAATGCCTTCAATGAGTGCAGATTAAAGCAAGAAATGTACTCCTTGGGCGTCTGATTCTTGGTCAAAAACTGCTCAACTAAATGATTAATATAATCTGATTATGAAGTTGGTGTTCTGTTTCTCCTCTACAGTTTCTTTAAAAACAGTGCAATTTAAACAAACTTACAGAGCACACATTACTCTCAAATTAGTCATTATATAAAGGACATTCACTAGAGGCAGTAAATATACTCCATAGTTAACCATATTTACCAAGTAAGGAATAAAACTAAAATTTCTAAGCCTTTATTGCATATTAATAAAACAAATCTTTGAATATACAGCAATGTAAAACTTTTAAAAATATTAAATTCCTAGAACTAGGGACAGTTGGTATGAAGAAGGGATGATGAGCACTGGTACAGAGAGCACTCTGCACCAACACACAGATTTTATTGTTCTGCAAACCACCAATATTAAAAATTTAAAAGATGGCACAATCCTAGCAGGCAATCGTAAAGTTAAGATACAACATTTAAGTTATTTAAATGTAATCTTGAAGCAGCCTGCAAATTTTACCTTTTGCTTTTAGCTCTGTCAGTGTGGTCCCTATCTTTGTGGTACCTATCTCTGTCCTTTTCTCCTTCTCTATGTTTACTTTTCTCTCGTTCTTTGTCCTTTTCATGGTCTTCACTTTTAGGTTTATCTGGTTTCTTGTCTACATTCCTACTATCCCGGCTTGCTTTTCCATCTGCTCCTCGATCACCATGTGACAACCGCGCCCTCTCTTTATCTTTGTGCCCTTCCTCCCTTTTTCTGTCTCTGTCCTTGTCTTGGGTTCTGTCTCTGCGTCTATGCCTTTCAGACTCTTGCTCCCATTCCTTTTCATGTCGCTCTCTTTTCAAATGGTGTGAATCACTATAAAATCTCTGTCGATCCCCTTTACCCCTATTAAATGGCCTATCCAGTTGCTGTTGGTCTTGCCTACCCCAAGGGTCACTATGGCGCCTTTCTGGTCTTCGAATGTCTTTAACCTGGTAAAAATTTTGTGGGCCTATATACCTTGATGTTTGTGAAAGGGGACCCATCATACGTTGTGGTTGGCCTGTCAGGTGAACAACAGGTGGCCAGGGAACCATGGGATTTTGAGCAAAGCCAAAGCCTGGAGGGGGAAGTAAAGGAGGTGGTAAATGTGGTGGAAATCCAAACATGCTTTGTGGGGGAAAATTAGGAGGTCCTGGAAATGGAAATCCAGGGGGGCTAGACTTGAGATGCTGAAGGTTGGGCTGCTGTGGCCTCATGGGTGAAAAGTTTGCACTTGTTCTGGGGCTGGTGCTTCTGGAAGTAAAGTTGATGCTTTTAGAAGGAAATTCTGATTGACATGTGTTTCCACCTTCAAAATGAGACGTTGTCGCTGTGGATCCTCTTCGAAATGGGTGCACAGTTTCGATATTTTGCAGTAAAATATCCTCCTGTAAGGGTTTTGTTTGTTCTGCTTGAGAAGTGTGTATGTTTTCTACTGACGGTGAGTTTTGTGCAACCCCTGAATTATCACCCTGCTGAACACATGAGCTCTTCTCTACAGAAGACAACTTTTCCTCTACATTCATTTGTTCTGTTAAGTGCTCCTTGTGTGACAGACCAGGCAGGGTGTGTTTTTCTCCATTCCGGCAATTATCTCCATCTTTGTTTTCTGAAGCAGTTATCTGCTGACTTCGTCCTGCTGCTTGTCTAGGATCCCGTTTCAAGTTGATAAACTGTGGGGACCTTGTTGTATTAGCAACAAGGTTTTCACTGCAACTGACATTACTATCTATGTTTCCTTTTCCTACATTAGACCTGCATGGAGAACTAGTATTTGAAGTCCGATTATCTTGCAAATTATTCTCTTGATCTTGTAGCAGCTGCCTTTTTAACGTTCTCTCTTTATTCTCCACAGTTTCTTCCTGTTTCGACTGAATTGATAAATTTGTTAAGAATGCTTCTGTAGAAACATCTGGTGGTTTACCTCTGAGGCTAAGACTCGTCAAAGGTCCAGGAGAAATGGAAGAAGAACCCATTACTGATGTTTCTTCTCCTACTACTGAATTACCTGTAGACTCTGAAAGATCATCTACTTTAACCTTTACCTCCTTGGTTTCACCATCAGTTACTTCCACTTTATCTACTTTCTCTGCTTTGGAGTCAGCATGCTCACTTAGAAAAGGAATTTCTTTAAGAGTGTTTTGTTCTATCACCGATTGAGTCTGTTCATATACCTGACCAGTAGTGCCCAAAAGGCTCTGAAGTATATCATCCACAGGAAGAGGTTTATTTGCTAATTCCAGAGTAGAAGGCTGATTTTCCCAGCCAATCAATACCCCAGGAAGGAATCTTAAAGGTTTTGGTGGCTCTTGTTTGGTGACTTCCACTAAAGGTTCAATTACTGTTGGAAGGTCTTCCTGAAGAGTTTGCTGAGGCTTATTTCTCTGCTTGTGTAATACAGTTGTAAAAGAATTAAAAAAGTCATTTTCTTCCTCTGGTGTTTCTTCTGTGGCAACTTCCATCTTACTTTTTTTGTCAGGTGGCAATGCCATTGGTACGCTTTCAGAAGTCTCGGCTGTATGACTAGTGCTAACACTAGCACTATGTTGCCGCTTCAGTTTTTGACGAATAATTAAGCCCAACAACAGATTGGGTCTATGCAGTTCAAGCCCTGTATAAAATAAAAAACATCAATGAACAGTCATTTTCAACCATTACAACACAGGGTACATGTTTGCATCTAGCTTATTACAGCCTATTAGGTGGGTGCCTGTCCCTGTGAAGTCAGCTCTAGAGGGCTGAAACCCAAGAATGCAAGCAGAGTCTGTCTTCTCACTCTGGTCTCACCTCCCACTTTTTTTTATTCATACTCCTATTATTAAAATGTATACCTACCAGGTCCATCAAAAGGCACAAGAGGGTGTGGAATTTTATCTGCGGCACCCAAAGGAATAAGGTACATATCCTTAACCTGCTTCATGTTGTTAGCAGCTACTCCATAGCGCTTTCTGCTACTGAAGTATGCAAACAGCAAAGTATAAGAAATTTGATCTTCTTCAGTTACAGGTGTGAAGCGAACCACACAGATTTCCTATTCAAGAAAATCATAAATGACTGTTTAAAATAATAACCTAAAGAATTGCTGGGTTTTAAATATCATTTCTCAACTAGTAATAATCCAGTAAATTTTATAATGATGATTACTGAAAAACATGATTTGCCAACTTAAATGCAGATAAAAATAGTAAAAGGAAGGAACTCTTAGGAAAAGATGTTTGCTGACCCACTGACAGATCTGTTTTATCTGAAGGTGTCCCATAAGACACTGAGTCCCACAATAATTAATTTGCTCAAGGTGACACAATTGTCAGTAACAGAGAAGGTATTTAAACCCGAGTCCTTTGATATCTACACTACATCCTTATTTCCTATCTCATAATCTCCACAAATGGTTGCCTGTGTTTTCAGTATACTGAAAATTAATATCACCTACCACCACCCTGCCATGTACACATACACAAAAAAACTCAAATCCAGTGAAAATCCAGAATGGAGACTGGGTGAAAAGAACTGAAATACATAAAACGCCATACGTTTTATGAAATCATTTGGTTTACTCAGGAACTTATTTGTTTGCCTCTAGGTTCTAGAATTTGTTTCCAATAGAAAAGAGAATCCCAATGTAGTATCAATTTGGTAGTGTAAAAAAATGAGATGTCTTTTCATGAACATACATAGTCAAAATGAAGAGAGACAGACCTGCTACAAAGCCTAAATTGATAGAAGTTCCTATACAGAACATGTAAATGAGCTAAACTATGGCTCTCTTATAAAAGGTCTGTCATCTAAACTGTCCTCTTTTAGGGGTGTGTTTCAGTCAGTTCAGGTAGGAGGCATATTATAAAATACTGGGCAGAAGTATATGGGTAGGCCAAGAATGATTCCCAAAATATCCAAGGGAATACCTCCCCAATGCTTTCTTACGACTTTTACTATCATGAGAAAGTGATAGCAAATAAGTGTTGTAACTTTTCTACAATGCTTCAAAGTTTCTTTGTATTCTAATACTGTATTAATTTAAATTCTAAAACCTATATTGAAAAACATATATTCATAACGCCTGGGTGGCTCAGTTGGTTAAGTGTCTGACCCTTGTATCAGGTCAGGTCATGATCTCACAGTTCGGGAGTTCGAGACCCATGTCAAGCTCTGCACTGACAGTGTGGAGCTTGCATGAAATTCTCTTTCCCTCTCTCTGCCCCTACCCCACTCATGCTCTCTCTCAGAATAAATAAACTTTAAAAATTTTTAAGCAAACAAACTTTAGGGGGTGCCTGGGTGGCTCAGTTGGTTGAGCATCTGATTCTTGGTTTCGGCTTAGGTCATGAGCTCACGGTCATGAGTTAGAGCCCCAAGTCAGGCTCTGCACTGACAGTGAGGGACCTGCTTGAGATTCTCTCTCACTCCCTCTCTTTCTGACCCTCCCCTTCCCCCCTCCCCACTCTCTCAAAGTAAATAAATAAACTTTTAAAATTAAATAGGGGCGCCTGGGTGGCTCAGTTGGTTAAGCATCCGACTTTGGCTCAGGTCATGATTTCATGGTTCATGGGTTTGAGTCCCACGTCAGACTCTGCTGACAGCTCTGAGCCTGGAGCCTGCTTTACATTCTCTTTGTCCCTCCCCTGCTCACGCTCTGTCTCTCTCGCTCTTTCTCTCTTTCTCTCTCAAAAATAAATAAACATTAAAAAAAAATTTTAATAAAAATAAACTTCTATATACTTAGAGCCACTATATTTTTAGGGTCTCTTTGTTGCCACTATATTTTAAGGTCTCTTAGCCTATGCCCTAACTAAACAAATGACTATAATCAAAGCAAGACACAATCCCAGGAGGAATCTCAATACTTACTTTAAAACATTTCTTTCAAAACACTGATGGAAATCACTAAGAAAGCATACCAGAAGGAAAGAAAAACCCACAGGAAGAATGCTGAGCTGTTCTGAGCTTTAGCAAATGGTTTTAGTTCAGTTTTGTCAGGCACACTATGTAGATTCAGAATTTGTAGTGGCTCCTACCCCCTAGGGTTCCCTGCATAAGAACTCTCATGATTTAGTTTTCAAGTGCTCTCTCATGCAGGTGTAACAAAAGAAATTTTCCTTACCTTGGTTCCTGATGCTTTAATTTTTTCAACATAATCCCAAACTGTCTGAGGTGATATCCTGCCACCTACTTGAATACTATCTGGTAGATCCTACAGTAAAAAATGAAGGTGATCAGTATATACAGAATATCTTTACTGTAATATTCATAATTTACTCTAAGACTAATTTAAAATTGGTAATAAAAAACAAGTAAATAAAAAGATTTGCATCATAGAACATAACAAAGTACAGGGATAGCAATCAGGATTTACCTCAAATGTCAACCTCAAATAACCAAGCTGGGTGCCTCAATTGTCAACCTCAAATAACCAAGGTTGGTGCCCAAGATACATGTGAGATAGAATCTGAGGTCATGTCAATTCCCAGTAGGAAAAACAGGCACAGGAAAGTGAAGCAGTGGCAACCAAAAGACACACCGACAATCCAGGAAGAGTACAACAGATTTCAGAATATTAGAGATTGTTTTTCTATTCCGCCCACTCCTACCCCCTCACCCCTTTTTTGGTGGTAGTGGGCAAGGATATCATTTAATCATTAACAGCTAGATTTCAGAAGTTACCAAGTATAATTATAGAGTGTATTTCTGCACAGTACAGAACACTGTAATACTGCAAGTTCATTTTTTTTTAACAGTAGAATTTTCTGAAAACAGATGACTATACCTTAATTAAGTGAAGAACTGTGTAACTGAAAATATTTAAAACTTTAATCAGTGTATTTCTATTTTTCTATGAAGCTGAAAAAATTCATAGAAAGCATAATTAATTGATAGTAAATTTGATTTAAGTGTATTTAAATTATTAATTGCTTTAATATTTTATTTGGGACTTTAGTCCTAAACTAAAAGTAGTAAAAAGCAGAGGTGGAATTCTGGAAAGCAGCCTTAGAAACTACGAAAGGAGAATAGTTTTGTTTAAATTCAAATTCCATAGTTCAGGACTTCTTTCCAATTTAAAAGAAGAGTTCTCTTCACCACTGATCAAAGACTAAATTTCTAAAGAGGTTTGTTCAAAAAGAAAAGCATCATGGGTCCATTTAATTTTCCTCTTATAAAATCAACGTTTCTAAAATATTATTTGCCAAGCAAACTAAATGTAAAAGTAATAATTACGTTGTTTATTAAAACACAATGCTAAACAAATAAATTGATCAACGTTAGGCACCATTACACTTAAACTAATTTCAGCCTAATATAAAGAAAAGTTTGTTAGTCTTTAAAGAAAAATAGGCATATATACAATTTAAGACTTTTGAAATACTGGAAAGAATTTTTTTTCTTTTTTAATTTTTGCCTTCATGATCAGGAGACTGAGAATGGATGGAATAGTTTAGAAACAAACATAACAGAAAATACAATCTCAACAAAAGTACAGTACATGTACTGAATTATTTTCCTACTTCCTGAAACAAAAGAAAAACACAACTTTTCAAAATAGTTAAAAAATGTCATACTTTCTCATTTTTCATAATATAATACTGTAACTGCTTATTTTCCATAAATGTTGCATGACAGTTCCATCCAATTCTTTCAGGTATAAAACCAACCAAGGGTACCTGGAGCAACTATGATCATTGGGTCTCATGGGACTGTCACCTTACTGTAATGTTTCAACTATCACCTACATCTCATTCACAGATAGAGGCAGATAAGAGCTGTAGTCATGCAGTAGGGGAAACATAAGCAACAGGAGAATTAGACTTGTTAACATGGAAAAAAATCTTCTTGACAGGCTAACACTGAAGTCCATACTAAGTAGGTCAATCCTTTAAAGAAAAACTCATGATATCCATGCAGACTCTCATTAATTTTTAATACTCTGACATACATCTTACAGTACAGGATTTGTAGGGTGAAAAGTTTCAGAACACAGTTATCTACAGTTCAAAAACTTCAGTTGTGAACTCAAAATTTCATTAATTGAATGGTTCTAAGCATCACTGTCAACATACTTATGAATGAAATAAAACATTATTATTTATAATATCATTTTCTCTCCTACTTCTTTTGGAAGCACATATGTCAACCCAAGCAGAAAACGTCAAGAAAAGTTCACAGTACCTCTGTCAAATACTCAGGGGAACCAGATACTGGGTAGGCTTTGGTAACAAATTTTGCTACAGAAGGCATGTTGATAAAACCTTTCCAGATAAAGTTCAAACGAGCCAGGAAGGTAGACTCAACTTCAACAGTTCCAGGCATCTCTGGTCTAAAAAAGGACATTAGAAATTTTCAGCCTAAAGATATGGTCATGAATAAATACATTTTCTACTAAGTCATCAATTATTTCTATTTTAGCATGTCAAGAAAGCCAAAATACATAAAGGCTATTGATTAAAGATGAAAGTACGTTCATATTTACATAGTCATGACTTACAATATCCTTCACGGGTGGCTCAGATGAAGGTACAGAGAGGTGCGAGCAATTTTTATTTAATGACCTATCTCCCACCTCTTGGGACCAACATAATTAAAAGGAATTTTAAAGTCAAGTCCCCACACACAGACTCAAATCTCTAAATTAATTTTAAGTCTTATTCTTTTATCTCAATTAGTTTAATGTTTAAGAAGGTACAGTTCTTTTCTCAAAAAAAAGGTTCCTAAGAAATATGTCGCTTTTCCATATTTGAAGACATCCAAGTATAATTTGGCAAAGATCTATAATAATTATTGAAGTTACAGCTAAGAGAAAATTACCGTGGGGCAGGAGAGAATGTTGATTTCGGAGACTCTTGTTTTTCCTCTTCAAAGAATTCAGAAGCCAAGATGTTTGAGGTTGAAGACAGTGCATCTGCTATACTTTCTGCTTCGTTATCTGAATGTTTACGAGATACTCCAACAACAACTTTAACTTTTTTTGGAGAAAGATCATCTACAGGTGGTGCCATTCGACCTAACATCAGATGACACCAAACAAACCATTTTTGTAAACTGAAATTCCTGTAACTTCATCCATTTCACTTCAAGAGTTATTCAGTGTTTCTGATGGAATTACTGCATAACCTTAGATTTCCTGGGGTAATTTTTAACTATCATCATTTCTCATGCTGTGTTATATTACATCTCTCTAATTAATGTGAAAAATTAGGGAAAAAGGATATTAAGCAACTTAGATAAGCTGAAATGGAAACATTATAACTAGAATCTAAAATAAGTTTCTTGGGATACCTGGGTGGCTCAGTCGGTTAAGCATCTGACTCTTGCTTTCGGCTCAGGTCACGACCTCACGGTTTCTGAGATGGAGCCCCATACCGGGCTCTGTGCTGACAACATGGAGGCTGCTTGGGATTCTCTCTCCCTCTCTGTCTCTGCCCTTCCTCTGCTTGTGCTATCGCTATCTCTCTCAAAATAAATAAACAAACATTTTTAAACTAAGTTTCTTGATTCCCTAGCAATTTTTCTTTTTTTATTTAGAGAGAGAAAAGGCAAGCAGGGGAGGGGGTCAGGGGGAGAGAGAGAGAATCCAGGCAGGTTCCACACTCAGTGTAGAACCAGATGCAGGGCTTAATCCCACAATACTGGGAACATGACCCCGAGATGAAATCAAAAGTCAGATGCTCAACAAACTGAGCCACCCAGGTGACCCCCTACCAATTTTATACTAAATTACACCAAATTCCAAGAGAAGTTACTTGAAAAAGAACTGAGTAAAAAAAATCTGCATCCTACTTTGTGTTACATATAGCAGCAGCTCATAACATAAATGCATAGTACAGTTACTAAACATGAAAAATGTTAGTAAAGTTTAAAAAATGACACTGGTTTTAGCCTATAGCACCAAGAAGGAAACAAATCACTCAAACTTTCTGAAAATAGGTTAGGTCTAGTAGTGTTTAACAAATGTTTTTTGTGCTAACATTACATTTACTAAAATATTACTATGGAAATTATTAAAGTTAATAGAAATCACTAAGTATTTTTTATTAAGATAGAACTACATGGGTGAACTTAAAAATACTATTAGACCATGGATAGCTTTCTTTAAGAATAGTAACGTCTCGGGGAGCTTAGGTGGCTTAGTCGGTTAAGCATCCAACTCTTGATTTCAGCTCAGGTCATGATCTCCTGGGTTTTCGTGGGTTCGATCCCATGTCAGGCTCCAAGCTGACAGTGAGGAGCCTGTCTCCCTCTCTTGCTACCTCTTCCCCCACTTGAGCCATCTCTGTCTCTCTCAAATAAATAAACTTAAAAAAAAGAACAACAAAGTCTAAAAACATTCTCTCTGCCCTTTAAGTCTTTAATCTTGTACAGACGGTAAAATAAACACGATTTTGAGAAGATATGATTATTAATATAATTTTAATTCTTCCTTATACATCCCTATTTCTTATGCCCTAAATCTAGCCCATCTCTAGCATCTATCAATATTACCTAACGTGATTATCTCAAAGCCTCCACTTACTTCCATCTCCAATTACTGCTCTAATCACTCTAATTAAAACCATCTTCATCTTACATTGGACTAGTGCAGAGGCTTCCTATCGAGTTTCCCTCCTTCCTCCCTTGGCTTCTCCCACTGTAATACCTTCTCACCACAGTTAGAGAGATCTTCATAAAATTCCAATTTGATCATGCCATTCCCTTGCTAAAAAAACCCTTCAATCAGTATCCACTGCTCTTAGATAAAAGACCGAAATCTTCAATGTGGCTGTAAAAGTAGATTTTCAGTATTCTGATCATGATCTGTAAAGTCATATTTTATCTCATGATCCATTACTTATACACACACACACACTCAACACATCTGTGTATGTGTGTGTATATACACGTGTATGTGTGTATTATTTTGGTTATATATAAATAACCAGAATTAAAGTTTCACAAAATGGTACACATCTTTATAAGAGTAATTCACTGTGGTATTTCATATTGTTTTTGTTTTTGAAATGCTAGTAACTACTTACTAACTTGATTTCACTAAGAAGTCACAATCTGAAGTTCGAAAGGCAATAATACAAAATGTGATCCCTAAAGTATCTCTTCAAACAAATCATATGCCTCTCTCCTCTTCTTGAATTCAATTCAAGCTCATGCCATTCCCAGTATTCAGAATGGTCTTCCCCTTTCAGTCTTCATGTCTCAGCTTAAATATCAATTCAAGTCTCCCCAATGCCTCACTCTAGGCTAAGTCTTCCTGCTAGCTAAAGACACTTATGACTGTACTTCTACTCAAATCATCACCTGCCTGTCTTTCCCACTAGGCTTTATGGTTTCTCTTAAGGCCTGGATAATATCTGACTCATTCACCACTATATTCCCTGCACCAGAAAGTGCTTGGCAAAAAAGATTTCAGTAAATATTTACTGAATGAATGGCCAGATATAAGAATACTAGAGAAAAGATATTTTGGGATTTGTTTCATTTGTTATATATAATAATAAAATATGAATGCTGTTTTAAAAATTTTTTTTTTTTTTTCAACGTTTATTTATTTTTGGGACAGAGAGAGACAGAGCATGAACGGGGGAGGAGCAGAGAGAGAGGGAGACACAGAATGGGAAACAGGCTCCAGGCTCTGAGCCATCAGCCCAGAGCCCGATGCGGGGCTCGAACTCACGGACCGCGAGATCGTGACCTGGCTGAAGTCGGACGCTTAACCGACTGCGCCACCCAGGCGCCCCTTGAATGCTGTTTTATTCCTTCACCTAGTAAATGACAATACCATCACAACTGTGCAACAGTTCTGATGCCTATTCTAATGCTTAAATTCTAGTCTTTTGACTCTGAGTTGGTTAAGTTCAGATCTTACATAATACAGTTAATTCTAGATAGCAAACTATATGATAGTATCAAACTATACCTCAACTCTGAAGAGCAGTCATTCTAAAACTGTGCTACTCCTCAAAAGGAGTGAGCAGGTACCCCCCCACCAGTACAGAGAAAACAAAAACCTATTTAGATTACAAATACAAGTATCCCCCTTTCAAAGTGAAAGCAACATTTCAGAAAGAAAAATTTCCAAGAGTGCCTCGGTGGCTCAGTCAGTTGAGCGTCCAACTCCGGCTCAGGTCATTATCTCACCCACCGTTCCTGAGTTTGAGGCCCCGTGTTGGGCTGTGCTGATGGCTCAGAGCCTAGAGCCTGGAGCCTTCTTCAGATTTTGTGTCTCCCTCTCTCTACCCCTCCCCGCCAAACTCGTACTGTCTCTCTCTCTCTCTCTCTCTCTCTCTAAAATAAACATTAAAAAAAAAAGAAGAAAGGAAAAATTTCCAATTACCTATGCAAATTTTACAGTTAAGATCAAAAAGATGTTGTCTATGTTGACTAGTGGTATCTTTAGACATAGAATCAATCTCTTCTTTCTGTTTTTCAGATCCTTCTGTCTTCTCCAATGACTTGTTAGCTGTAGGTTCCTAAAAAAGGAATAAAAAGTTTCAGCAGACAAAATTTTGTCCTGATTAAAAATCAACTTATATTTCATATTGATACATGAAAGCTATTCCATTCACAGGTTGTTTTTCACTATTTCTTTATAAAATAAATGCTAGATATTAATTATGACTTAAAGTAGAGCAAAAACTCAAGACATTCTTCAGTCTTCATTCCTTAAGGCCTCTAACAAGATTTCCTATTATTTTCTCACTGATATTTGAAAATAAGAAAAGTTGTACCACACTCTCAAACCAGTCTAAGAAGCACCTACAGATTTATAGGCCTACTGAAGAATTTGCAAAGTCCTACAGATCCTGAGAATCTACATTTAAACAAGTGCTTAAGAGGTGCCTGTGATGCAGATAGCCTGCACTTTACATACAAAGAAACAATACTGTAAACACTCTCAAAAAACCATGAAACCAATGAAATAAACTACTTTAAAATATATATATATTTTTAAAAATCTTCTTTCGACTTAAAGAACATCTGAGGCAAATAAATCACTGAATCTTCATGTTTTGAGCACTACAAACATGACACTATTATAATTTTTACCTGAATCTCCATGGCTGCTTCCTGTTCCTTCATTGGGGCATCACTCTCAATTTCTATTTCACCTTTATGAGTTATTTTTGTGATTGGCCGTCTTTCCACTTCTCTCTGCTCTTTCTCAATCATCTCTATGGTCTAAAGGAAATATTTTAAAGAAACATTTCACAATTGAAACATATTTCCAACTGTACAGCTTTAAATAGTAAGAGCTTATCTAAAAATGAAAAAAATCATCATAGATGATTTTTAATCTTTAGGTGGTCTCTCAAACAACAAATATACACTGAATACTTACAAATGTCAGAGACTGTTTTGAGTGCTGGGTTTATAAGCCATGAGAAGTTCACACATAAATTAACCAGAGGGAGCTGAAGTGCAATGTAATTTGCAAAGGGTTGAAACATGATATTTACCTGCTTTCTGATTTAGTATAGTAGCAGCTGCCACAGGGAAATGGGAATTATTTTCCTCAGATTCCTAACTTGATGTTCTTAACACTCCCCCAAATAGTGGAAGTTTATTCAAATACCAAAAATTATCAGGTAGTCCCCTATCAGTTTTCTCCTGACCAAGCTTACTTTGTGACGATGAACAAGCCTGGCAACACAATAAATAAGCAAGTATAGCAAAAACTAGTGTAGCAAAAACTAGTAAAAAGTAGCTGAGAGTGGAACAGGTTAAGAAAGGTAAAGATGGTCATTTATTTTGCCTTTGTTATATGCAAATCATCCTTTAAAGAAAGAAATCAGATACATGGCCTAAAGGAAGAACAAGCTGGTCTCCAAAGCAGGTAATACTTGCAGCCACATTTCAATGCAGAAGAGAGGCGTGTACATATTTGGGACATGGAGAGAAAGATAAGGTGATACTATTTCCAAATTAAGAGGAAAAATTACACAGGGTGAAAGTGAAGAAACATGTGAATAAGTGTAATATATGAAATCAAGGCCCTGTGCTTCAAACTAGATTTAGCAGAAGATCCACATGGAGGCTTAATACCTGAGATGCAAGTATTATGGAAAAAACAATCAGGTAAATCATGTAGAATTCCTATGAACTGTAAATAACCAATACTTTCTAGAATGAAAAGCTAACATTCTAGGGCACCTGAGTGGCTCAGTCAGTTGAGCCTACAACTCGTGATTTTGCTCAGATCATGGGATCGAGCCCCACGTCAGGCTCTGCACTAAGCATGGAGCCTGCTTACTATTTTCTCTCTCTTTCTCTCTCTCTCTCTCTCTCTCTCTCTCTCTCTGCCCCTCTCCCCTGCTCATGCTCTTTCTCTCTCAAAAATAAAAAATAAGTAAATTTTAAAAAGCCAATATTCTGAGGCCACTGTAATCAAACTAATAGATCATGTGGTTATCCCACTGCCACAATAACCCTAAGTCACACATTCACTTAATCAATCTTTAAAGGTATTTCAAGTTCACAACACCTAAATGAAAACTCCTGGCACTGGTGACTTTCAGAACTTTTTAATTTTAAAAATGGACTATGCTGCACATACTATTTATGTTACATAACACCTCAGTCAGACCTGGGACAGAGCTACTTAAGCCCACAACATTTCTGTAAATATGAGCATCCATACGTGACAATTTGGGTCAGGTTTTATCAATAAATGTGTTAAGGGAAAAAAAATCCTTGTTTTTCTGACCTTTTGGTGTTTGAAATTTGAATAATAAGGGATTATAAACCTGTAAAATTTTCATTTTGACTTAATCTAGTACTACAAATTACCAATATTCATTATACCTTCAAATTGTGCTTCTGAAAAGTATAGACGTGATTAAGAAAAAATGTGCCTAATTTCCCATCTTTCTGATTTATGAAATATAACAAAACACAAGTTAATTATGAAACCTTCTAACTGAAGAAAATGAGAAAAAAGCAGCAGAGATAGGGAAAACAAAAGATTAAATTTAAGAACTCAGTTAATGGAAGATAAGTAATTTAGAAGAAGCATAGAGCAGGAAGTCTGTATTACTGCGCACTCTGTTAAATTACCTCTGTGTATATATATAATTTCTCCCCTATGGCTGAAAAATATAGGTTCTGATATAGCCAAACACATATTCATAGATAATCTTACATGTCTGTTTTCTCTCCGTCTCCAAGCAGCTAACTCTTTAGAAGCTAGTTCTTCTGGACTCATTCTTATAAGATGATCAGGGGTTACTTCTCCTTTCAATACTTTTTTAAATAATATCTGGAAATATTTAAAAATGGGAATAAAAAGGGGAGAAAACATTTTTAAAAGAAACTGGAACTGCTGTATAAAAATTTGTAATAAATAAAGATGCAATATTTAAACCGGATTTACAAATGTCTATTTATAAATCATCTACTACAAAGAGATTTACTGACAACCTTATATTCTAGGAATTTTTCATCTAAGGTAACAAACACACCTTTCATATAAAAAATGAACACAGGGGCACCTGCGTAGCTCAGCTGGTTAAACATCGGACTCTTGATTTTGGCTCAGGTCATGATTTCTTGGTTCGTGGGATCACAAACTGCGTTAACAATGCAGAGCTTGCTTGGGATTCTCTCTCTCCCTTTTCTCTTTCTGACCCTCCCCACTCATACTCCCTCTCTCTCTCTCTCAAAATAAATAAATAAACATTTAAAAAATAAATTGTAAAAATATCAACACATAGTGAAGAAACAGGTACAGTAGAACCATTACAACATCTATCCAAAAATTGTATTAAAACTGTTCCCCTACTCCCACCCTCCCCCAAAAGAAGATTCTGTCTCAGAGTATTCCCAGTGATACACTCTGTCATAATAGCCAACCTGCAGTAAATAGCAAGGTACCACATAAAAGAATTTTATTGAATGTGAGGTCTTTCATATTTTTAAGATTTCATAGTTTAAATTTTAACAGGCTTTGGAGGGACTCCAGAGCAAAGAACCAACTGCAAGAAAGAAACCCAATGGAAATAAATGTTTACTTACTGAAGAAAAGCTTCCAGACTATATAATTCAAGAAGTATCTGATCCCCTGGACTATGATGGCAGATTATACAATGTAGATTTCTCTTAAGTAGCTGTTAGTATATACTTTAAGAAAATACCTCATATCACATACTATTGCAACTATCATTATACAAATTGACAAAATGTTATCACTTAAGTGAAAATCTTATAAAACTTAAGCAAATACGTAAGGAGTTTGCATTCATATACATAGCTTTTAAGATTTCCTCTAAGTCTCGAACAAGAAATGCCAGAAAATGATTAACAGTTCAATTAATATTTGCCTCACTGCTAAAAGATATTTAGAATTAAAGTCTTATTTAAATTAACAAAATGTTTTTTTTTAATGTTTATTTTTGAGAGATAGAGACAGAGTACGAGTGGGGGAGGGGCGGAGAGAGAAGGAGACGCAGAATCTGAAGCAGGCTGCAGGCTCTGAGCTGTCAGCACAGAGCCCAACACAGCGTTGGAACTTGTGAACTGTGAAATCATGATCCGAGCTGAAGTCAGACGCTCAGCTGACTGAGGCACCCAGGTGTCCCAACGAAACGTTTTAAAATAGTATTTTTTACATATTTTTTTTTTTTTTTTTTTAAGTACTGCTGCTCTGCTTTTAGATTCAAATCAGAAGTACCATTATAGTGGGGCACCTGGGTGGCTCAATAAGTTAAGCATCCAACTCCTGGTGTCAGCTCAAGTCATGATCTCACAATTCCTGAGTTCAGCTGACCGCTCAGAGACTGCTTGGGATTCTCTCTCCCTCTCACCCTGCCCCTTCCCCTACCCTCAAAAACAAACAAATAAACAGAAGTACCATTACAGTATTTGTTATGAATTTTGGCTTAACAGAGTTTTTAAAACATACATTTGAGTAAATTTTTAATATTGGATTAAATAAGGGACATAATGGAAAGAAAATTCACATAAATCAGGTTAAGACAGACTTAGCAGTTTACATTTTAATAGACTCATTATAGAACACTAGTTACCACTATTCAGAATTCATAATTCAGTGCAGTAGCCAAAGACTATTAAAACGACACAGTCTCGGGGCACCTGGGTGGGTCAGTTAAGTGTCCAACTTCAGCTCAGGTCATGATTTCACAGTTCATGAGTTTGAGTCCCGTGTCGGGCTCTGTGCTGACAGCTCGGAGCCTGGAGCCTGCTTCAGATTCTGTGTCTCCTTCTCTCTCTGCCCCTCCCCCACTCATACTCTGTCTCTCTCAAAAATAAATACTGAAAAAAAATTTTTAAAACAATGACACAGTCTCAAGGTGCCAGGGTGGCAGTTAAGTGTTGGACTTCAGCTCAGAGCTCATGCTCTCTCTCGCTCTCAAAACATAAAAAAATGTTAAAAAAAATATTTTTTTAAATAAAAAATAAATAAAATGACACATTCTCACTTTAAGAAATAAATTATAGATCTGTTGTATTATAATCTTAAATTCCAATATATTCAGGAAAGCTGGAAGCTTAAACAGGTATAGACATGAACAAAACATACTTACATTGTTTTTGGGATCTTTCAGATTGAACATCAAACTTCTGTATTTGTTCTTATATTTAGCATCTGTGTCCCGAAAAAAAGAGAAAAGCTCTTTTTCAATTTTTGTGGCAACTTTTGCTGCTTTTTCCTCTGGCACCTTCAAATTGGACTCTGTAAGTCTTAAAATTAGAATAATTCAGTTATTCTTCAAATACAATAATAAGCATATAGTAAGCATATGTGATTCAATCCTCTACAATAATAACGTGTGTTACCTTTTCATAAGAATGTCTTTAAGAGAATGTTTGACGCTTTGTCTGATCTGATCTGCAGAAGGCTTGGAAGTAGAAGTAGCAGGAGGATGCACATTAGGCACTCCCTTTTCAATTTTCTTCTTTCTTATCTCTTGCTTCTCATGAGCCCCTAATTTAAACAAATAACAAAATTCATTAAACTGTTTTTAAAAAGATATCTTCCTTTTTAGTGCATACTGTTAAGCTTCTAAACAAAACTGACTGATTAAAAAATCACTATTTAGAAATAAGATCAGGGGGTACCTGGGTGGCTCAATTGGTTAAGCATCTGACCCTTAACTTGGTTCAGGTCATGACCTCATCGTTGGTGAGACTGAGCCCCACAACAGGCTCTGCTCTGACAGCACAGAGCCTGCTTAGGATTCTCTCTCTCCCTTTTTCTGCCCCTCCCCCGCTTGTGCACATGTACGTGCGCACTCTCTCTCAAAATAAACATTTTTTAAAAAATAGAAATAACAGGGGCGGCTGGGTGGCGCAGTCGGTTAAGCGTCCGACTTCAGCCAGGTCACGATCTCGCGGTGCGTGAGTTCGAGCCCCGCGTCAGGCTCTGGGCTGATGGCTCAGAGCCTGGAGCCTGTTTCCGATTCTGTGTCTCCCTCTCTCTCTGCCCCTCCCCCGTTCATGCTCTGTGTCTCTCTGTCCCAAAAATAAATAAACGTTGAAAAAAAAAATTTTTTTTTAAATAAAATAAAAAAAATAAATAAATAAAAAATAAAAAATAGAAATAACATCAGAACCCATATTGAAATATTCCTGACATTAAAATTCTATTCTACATATGGTGACATGTTAACTAGACTTATCGTGACCATTCTGCAATACATACAAATATCAAATTATTGTCATATGCTGGAAACTAATGTTATATGCCAATTATACCTCACCAAAAAAATTCTAATTTAAATGAATTTTAATTACAAATTAAGTGACTAAAAAGTGGCCCTATGAAGTGCATATGCCCTTTACCCATTTTATTTTTTTAATTTAAGTAATCTCTGTACCCCATGTGGGGCTCAAACTCACAACCTTGAGATCAAGAGTCACACACTATTCTGACTGAGCCAGCCAAGCACCCCCACCTTTTCCCATTTTAGATAATGGTTTTTAGAGCTAGTTTCTTTTCACATAATATAATATTAACTTTTAAAAAACTATTTAGAGGGGCTCCAGGCTGGCTCAGTCAGTGGAACGTGAGACTGTTGATCTTGGGGTTGTGAGTTGGAGCCCCACGTTGGTTGTAGAGACTACTTAAAAATAAAATCTTCAAAAACAAAAATTTTAAAAACTATTTAGAAAATATGATCTGAATTTATTAGGTGAGCAGATAATTTAATGAATTTTCCAGTACCACAAAATTGATGAATCATCTCTGGTTTTAAAACAATTGTGCTTGATATTGTTAATTTGACATGTTAAGTTTTCCAAATGATTTTTCATTCCAACATTACTAATTCATGTAACATCTCCAAAGTCTCAATGTGAAACATCTCACTACTCTGACCTTCTAACATACTGACTTATTTATTCTAGAATCTCTTCATTCCAACAGTTTTTTTTTTTTAGATTTTATTTTTTAAGTAATCTTTACACATGGAGCTTAAATTCACAACCCCAAGATCAAGAGTCGCATGCTCTTCTACTGAGCCAAGATACCCCAACTTAAATCTATCATTTTTTACCATTTGTGTCCTCATTTTCCCACATAACCAACTTTAATTAAACAGTCCAACATTATTACCACACCCTTGCATTCAAAACACCTTTATCCTCTCTGCTTTAAACATCTGTATTTGCAAAACCACAACCTGGTGAAAGCCAGCCTTAACCTTCACCCAAACAGCCTACAAACAGTTGAAGGCAACTGGAGAAAAAACACTGATGCTAACGGATCTCCCTATAAATTCATAACCACAAATCTGAAGTAGATAACTCAATCTGCTGCCCTAATCCTATTAAGTTTTCCTGGTAAACTTGTTTTCCCACTTCCCCAAGCATTATTTTATACTTTTTCTCCTCTCTTCACAATCCAACAATACCTCCTTCACCAACTTCAACTTCATTTGATTTTTTTCAAAATCAAAATTCTTTACCCCAATACTATATTTTTTCTTCATAGTGCCTAAATGCCGTGATACAGCACACCATTTGTCTACTTATTATCTGTCTTCTTAAATTTTTTTTTTCAACGTTTATTTATTTTTGGGACAGAGAGAGAGAGAGCATGAACGGGCGAGGGGCAGAGAAAGAGGGAGACACAGAATCGGAAACAGGCTCCAGGCTCTGAGCCTTCAGCCCAGAGCCCGACGCGGGGCTCGAACTCACGGACCGCGAGATTGTGACCTGGCTGAAGTCGGGACGCTTAACCGACTGCGCCACCCAGGCGCCCCTTATTATCTGTCTTCTATTCGTATTTAAGAGCCATGAGGGTGGGGTCTTATTAAATTCATTTGTACTTCCCAGAATTTAGAGCAATAGTTTTTAATTTCAAGAAAGGTAAATCACATATTTTTGTTGTCCTTAAAATATTAAAATGGTTAAATTTCCCTAAATATACTGATAGTGTATAAAATAAATATAGCTTTATTAGTGTATAATAATTTTTATTAATCTTACTACCTTGTTTGGAACCTTTTTCTCCTGTACAAATAACAGTTGAAGGTTCTTTTGGTATTTTTTCACTTTTTTCTTCTGAGGATCTCCGAGGTAAAACCGGTTGTCCCATCTTTCGAAGAGGAGCTAGCTGCCATTTTTTTATTTCACTATCTCTACAGTCTGATGAGTTTTTGCCTTCACCAGATTCCTAGGGGGGGAAAAGTATTTAATTCATTAGAATGAAAATTACTAAAGCAAGGCTCAAGAGTATATTGATAAAAAAAAAAATTAAACCTAATTAGTATTACAATCCATTAAGATAGCAAATATTATATTCTTCTTTTTTTTTAAGTTTATTTATTCTTGAGAAAGAGAGAAAGTGTGAATGGGGGAGGGGCAGAAAGAGAAAGGAAGAGAGAAAACCAGCAGGCTCCACACCATCAACACAGAGCCTGATACAGGGCTCAAAACCACGGACCATGAGATCATGTCCTGAATGGAAGTCAGACGCTTAACTGACTAAGTCACCCAGGCACCCCAGCAAACATTATATTCTTTAGCCCAATACTTGAAAGGTTATTTTTAAAGATGTACACAAATAACTCTCAATTAGTAGCAAAAAGGAGATTTGCCCTTTCATTCAAAATCCATTTGTCAAGCACCTATTTTCTGCAGAACACATAATAGCCTATAAAGGAAAACTTAAAAAAAACATGGATATCATTTACCAGGTAGTGATATTAGCAAGAAAATTAGACACAAGATAATAAGAGTTCTCTTAGTTAGCTGTGGATATGGAAAAAGGAGGTAGAGATTGTGGAGAAATAAGTATCTATGTTCTTCACCACTTTCTAAAACAAATGAAATCACATCCATCTACAGCAAGTGTTCAATTTTTTCTCATTGTATCTACTAGCAATTTTAGCTCCCATAAAGTAGAACAAACCATCAGGATACCTGCTATTCTCATCCTGATTATAGCCCACAAAGAACTACTAGAGAACTAGAATTCTAAGACCCTTTAAAGTAATTAATCACATCATGGTAGTGTTTGAAAGACAGGGAGAAGAACCCTGTGTATACGCATATATAATCATAGGTTTTAATTAGAGTACATACAAAAAAAAAACACTAATTTTCTCTAGACTAGGAATCCTCTCATTTTTTATTTACTCATTTTCTATCTTTCCAACTAGAATTACTTGAGACCAGGAACATATCTTAATCAGTGCTATACACCCAAGTCTGGTACCACACTTGGCACACAATAGGAACTCAACACATGGTTCAACATAAAATCTAGGGATAAGAAGTGATACTTAAAAAGCAGATTCCAGAAACTAAAATCAGACAAGTCCAAACAACATTCAACAGAGTTCATCAGTAAAAAGAAAAGGAAGCAGTAATAACTTGAAGGGCACATGTATTTACAAAATCAGACTAACCTCAACTTCTTTTCTGACACAGAGAGTGGACAGAGTGGTCTCTCAAAACATTTACAATGTTTTATGTCTTTTTAGACAGGATGAAGATAACTTAGCTAAATGACAAAACAATGAGCTATATTTCTAAATGGTCAAAATATTATATCCAAGAAGTGATGATTAATAGTTAATGATTAACAGAAGTTTTCCAAAGATGTGCTATAAACTATTCTCAATGGAGTTCTCAATTCTATACCATCAGTGACTTTGGCGCTCATCAAATCAACAGAGAAAGCAATAGCAAAAGCCAGAAGGACATAATCTGATTCTCAAAAAGTCTGGTCAGACAGAAATTGCTGGGTGCTACAAGCACTGGCAAACTGCAACTTAATCCAGTTTTGTTATATAAAGAATGTCTCAAAAAACTGAGTTTGTAAATAATGGAGATGACTTTGGAGAAAACATGCTTATATTCTTCAATCTAAATGGCTGAACTAAAAGATTTCCAAACTTCCTTCTTAACTCTCCAATTCATGTTCACTGTCTTTTGGATTATTATAGTTGACTATCCACATATATATGTTGCCACTGTACTCTTCGCTAGCATTATAAAACAACAAATTTCTATAATAGAAAATTCATAGGTAACAAAAAGGCAGACAATAAAACATAAAAATTTAATCAGATATAGCACTGAATCTTTTATACATTTCTCCTGTAATAGATTAAATATCCTGAAATTTCTATTTAGGAAATACTTTCAGAAATCAGTTAAAAATATAAGATTAGGGAAAACTGACAACTCTAAGATAGAAATTATTAAGTGAAGGTTCCAAGCAAACACTGCGACAATGTCAAAAGAATTAAGTTTACTTTTCCTTACAGAGACAAAATAACTCTTCTACCTGAAGACAATGTCAAATATAGTTTAAGAATTAGTAGATAGATACTTATGAGCTGGAAAACTTTTTTTAAAAAGCTTATTATCAAGTACACTGTAGAGCTTATTACCACTTAATGCCACAAGATCACATACACATCCTACCACAGAAAATCCAAGTACCAAACTAGAGACCAGAAACTGCATAAGACGCTGTTAGAAATAAAATCTATGTGTTTTGAAGATTTCACCACCTGGTTTCATCAAGACTGCCAAAATATTTTAAATAAAATTCCATTCATTTTTATGGAAAAATAAATTTGAAAAGGTACTCTTAGAACAATGAAACCCAAAGAGAAATTTATTTGAGAGAACGAGCACGTGCAAGAGAGTGAGAGGGCAGGGAAAAGGGACAGTGGGGAGATGGAGGAAGAATCCCATCCAGGCTCCATACTCAGCATGGAGCCCAATGCGGGGTTTGATCCCAAGATCCTGGAATCATGACCTCAGCCAAAATCAAGAATCAGATGCTCAACGAACTGAGCCATCCAGGAGACCCCAAAGAAATTTCCAATTGTCAGTCCATACAAAGTTCTTAAATAAAAAGAATGCATTAATGAGCACCTTACCCGCTTTAAAATTTTGACCTTGTGCTTCACTGTATCTTCTATATATTTGGTTTTTTCATTTGTTGGTGTGTGCTTTGATAACCCAAGCTTTTCATATTCCATTGTCCTATCTTCACTATGGACTTCAACTTTAGCCTGGTTTTCCAAAATATCTGCATCTACTATTTCAGTCTTTTTATCTTCTTCAGCACAACATTTCACACACACGTATTCTTTGTCTTCCTCTCCCATTTGTTGTGCTTGGCAAAGACTTAAACCAACACAATCACCATGAAACCAGTCATCACATCTCCCACAGCCAACCATAAACCTGGGGGAAGGGACAAAACTTTGATTTAATACATTTTTTAAAAACCCAATGTCAAAAATGCCCAAGTTAAATATTAAATCATTTTCTGACATTCTGTTTTTCACTCTGTCAGTTCAACATGGAGCAAGTTTTCAAAGAATATTCTATGAAAATGGAACTTTTAAGAAGTCAACTACATCCCCACTTGTATGAATGAGAAAATACAAAAAACCATAATGGTTAAATCAAGCGCAACTGAACTTTGTTAGCATACTACACAGAATAACAAAGCATAGAGTAACGTTTCTCCACTGAGAAGGGTGGTAAGATCTGTGATAGTGTGATCACAGACAATCCATCAAAGTTACAATTACATTTACCCCACACACCTGATATATATAAAACTCAAGAATCATTCATCCAATGAATCATACTGAAATGACAAAAAGAGATAGCAACAAATATAAAACTCAAAAAGTAACATAATGGAGACTCTTACACTGTTTATTAACCACCTTAACTATGTAACTGTACTTTGAGGTCAAAATATTCTGGTTTCATGGTATAACAGTGATTATATTAAGCTGAAGAATCTTGTATGTACTTTTGAGTGTGGACTTCCTTACTACACTTGTTTTTCCAAATAAAGATCATTGTTCTTAACATGAAGATATTAATATTCAGGCTGAATTTTTTAAAGTTTCCAATTGACTTACAAGTTTGCCTTTACTGATTTTTATCTAACTTCACTAACCAACAAAAAAGCCTATGGATAGATACAAGATTAAGGACTCTAAAAAGCTTATTTTTCTAACTTAGAAATATCTGGAATTACTTCTGAATAAAATGGTAAATCAGATGTACAAACAGCAATTTGAGAGAGAAATTATCTAAAATACTTTTTACCCCACTGTCAGGAAAACTAGAGAGCTCACTTAATCATGTTTAACATTTTCCTTTCTTCTTCAAGTTGGTAATTTATGGTATGTTTGAAAGCTTACGATAAAGAGATTTAGATCTATTCTTTAATGAATTAAAGACTTTCTGCTGATTTTGTTAACAGTGGCACCAACAATGTCAAACCCATTTTAAAAACCTGTGGACCAATAGGAAGATGTTTTAAGGTAATTCAATGGGTGGTACGGCCAACTCTCAAAACATACCAGAGGTTCTGTTTGAAGGTTGAAACTATAAAAACAACATTTGATCCTTACAAGAGGTCTTGAAAAAAGTCACAGCAAATATTCATTCCTCAAATGCAGCACATTTTTCTCTTCTTTGTATCCCTTTCTAATGTGTATCAGACTACTGCTGTCCATTAAGGAAACCTGACTTCTTCCTGTCTATGATTCACCATTCTTTACCCTAACTGGTAATGTCTGTGCTATCTTTATCAGGCTTGGGGAGATTTTAGATGGGTCCATGTTTCAATGATACAGATCTTCCAGCCAACAGAATAAATAAGTTTGAAAAATGCAAGTGCATAGCTTTTCTATTTCAGGTTTCAAAGTCATAAGAACTATTTCTTGAAAGCAGGTAATATGAATGTCTGTGAAATAGCGAAGGAAAGCTAGTAGTCATTTCCCTTTAGTTCCACTATCAGAGCAACATTAGCAAGTCTAGACTAAGTTTCAATGAGACTACTTAAAAAACCTACACACTATGACCATGACTATGCTTTTACCCCAAATTCAACTCTTAAATATTATAAAGCATGGATTTTAAATTTCAAATTTTTATTTCATCAGGGAACTTATTTTATGGTTACAAAACTTATTAACTAATTACATTTCATTACGCCTCATTTCAAATCTGTTTTGGAAAGGTCTCCTCAAATGTGAGGCTCTGAAAAGCAAATCTCTAGCGCCATCTACAGATTATCTTAATAGTTTAGGATTTTATATAGAAAAATAAAATAAAATTCTAAAAAGTCACTGATAGGGGCGCCTGGGTGGCACAGTCGGTTAAGCATCCGACTTCAGCCAGGTCACGATCTCGCGGTCCGTGAGTTCGAGCCCCGCGTCGGGCTCTGGGCTGATGGCTCAGAGCCTGGAGCCTGTTTCTGATTCTGTGTCTCCCTCTCTCTCTGCCTCTCCCCCGTTCATGCTCTGTCTCTCTCTGTCCCAAAAAAATAAATAAACGTTAAAAAAAAAATTAAAAAAAAAAAAAGTCACTGATAAAAATAATTTCCACATGTTCTAGGGAAAAAATAAATTAATTCACTTGAAAGTAAAACTGATTTTACAAAAATGTAAATCTGGATCATTTTTAGGTCTGAAACTTAGAGGAGTACTACAAATTTTATGGGTATTTATATTGGGGAAAATTTATATTGGGGGGAAAAGGTCTATCACAAAAAGAGAGTATTACTTTCTTCCCTTTTTGTATTATTCCTCATGATTTAAAAATGTGAGGGATAGGGGAGAGAGTATGAATCACATAGCTAACAGAATTAATACCCATTTTCTGTTCTAGCCTTGAATTTCTGATTAATAGACAAAATCACTTACAGAAAAGACTATATAACCTGGATGTTAAATATTTCATTAAAAATAAATAAATAAATAAATAAACAAACAAATGTTGTATGGAGTTTACCTCTGGATCAATTAAGTAAACCAAGTAGGCATGCATCAGTTAAATGGATGAGTTCAGAAATATTTGTTATATCTCCTATTGTTAAATATTCATACACAAAGTTTAAAAGTAAAAAGCTAAACTAGACTTAGTGTAAGATAAAAACCAATTTAAAATTCTAACCTTTTTGGCATAAGCCAAAATATATTCTTAGAAAACTTTAAAGTTTCTTTAAAGTAAATCAGAGGCAAGCAACAATGAGAACTGTTCTCAGCATATTCATGTTACAATTACCAACAAGGGAGCTGTTACAAGATGGGTCTTCAGTTCTGATTAAGTATTTAAGTGACAATCTAGACCATATTACTATAAATGTATACGTACTCACTCTTTTCTAAAATGATTCTATTCCACATAAATATTAAATCAGTTTTTGTCACTAACAACCTTATCTGCAGATGAAAATACTTATCTGTCAAACTCTTAAAATCTTGAGAAAAACAATCTTATTCTGGAAGAAAATTTCCTTCTCAGAAAAACAATTTGAGTATAAAGCCATCATGCTATGGAGATTTTTTGTTTTTAAATTTCATCCAATGTATTAATCATCTATTGCTGGGCAAGAAAATGCAATACAAACTAAAGATACAAACACCTGGAGACGTAGGAAAAAACTAGAAACTACAGAATAGATACTATGAAAAGACTAACACTTCTTCCTTCCAAAATGCCAACTGGCTTATGTAAACACAAGTGCAAAGATGATTTTTTTAAAGGGAGTATTAAGTAGTCCGGTTTTTAAAATAATGAATATGCTTGTGTTGTAAGGCTGATGAGGAAAATAAATGGAAGCAAAAACAACAGTTTGTTGTGTAAATTGTTAAGTCAATACCTACTGTCTTTAGGATATGTATAGTGTTGCCTATGGTTAAATATTTATTACATTTGGTGATGTCATGTACAAATCCATACTTAAAAATATAATTTCCAACTGGAAGCACACACAGGAAGCTAACTTTAGTTGTAATACATGTAAAATGCTTAAGAGTTATAAAACAGTCCTTAGAAGCAAAGCTGTCACAAGTGCAAGAAAATGTCATATTAACAAATAGCTTTCCATATGGCTACTGCATGAAATGGACAAAAATTATTTCCAGATATGCCCTTCCTAATAAATTCATAATCTTATTAATACATGGATTAAAATAGGAAAATTACATGCTGTATGACAGGTCCATTTTTTGAGTAAAAATGTATACAAGCATGATGTATCAAAAAAAGTAGTGAAGGCTAGTTAATATGTGAAGAAAAAACAATTACTTAGGCTTGCTTCTTTATTCACAAAATGTAATGTGAAATGCTGCTTCCCAATTGTTTCCAATGTCATTATATATTATGCATGTTAATTACATAAAGTAAACTCAAAATCCCTCTATATATGTATTATTCTCAGTCATTTTCCACACTGAGGCAAAGAAACTCTAGGTTTTATAGAAGAGACACAGAAGGTGGCATTAGGTTAAAAACAAAAAAACAGTAGGATTTAACATTAACACTTAATGTTCATTTTAGGAAAATAACTGTTGATGTTGGTAAAGTGAGCCATCATTAAAAAAGCCTTGGCAAACTCCTGAGGGCCAAATCATCAGAAGAGTAGCTTATCTGCAACAAAGCTACACTGTAACACACTTAACACTGCTTGTAACTCTAGGCTCAAGTTTCATTTTAGAAACTCCTTCAAGCTAAGGCTCCTCTTGCATTACTCAGACCACATGTCAGGATGTAATGATTTTTAAAAGATTCTGGCAGAGAAAAAAGTGCTGGCCTAAAAGAACACTTAAAAGCACCACCCAGCCCTTAATTCTGAAAATTTACCAGGCCCACTTTAGAATATCTGAATAAGGTGTTTTCTATTAAATTTAATTTAATTAAAAAAAAAAAAAACTACCAACACATATGTGAGGACAAATATAGCACAATATCCAAAGACACAATTTTTAAAAACTGGAATATGTGGTTATAAAGAATAACCACCGACACTAAAAATAGGACATGGACTGAATCACAAATAAAGGCATGAAAGTTTGTTATGTCTTTGACATAACAGTTCGACATAAAACTTAAGTTTTTTACAGAATAGCTCCAACAACTCCCACCCACTCTGCCCAACCACCACCTCCCACACCAAAATAATTACACAACATACTTTACTAAATTGTCCCTACCTAAAAAGCTTCATTTTAATGTAACCTGATAGTGCTGGGAAAACTCATCCTAATATTTACTTTCATGAATGAGTGAGGATAATATTACAAAGTGCAAGTTATAATATTCTTTTATCATGTCCGTGTTGATAGAAGTTCCAACAGCAATCTCAACACGAACAGCACAATCTTGCAGCTGCAAACTCCACTTCATCTCCTGTTTTCCTTTTCTTAAAACACTAGCAAATAAAAAATACATGGCGGGGGAGGGGGTCTGGCAGTGTCAAAAAGCTATAAAACACTGAATCCTAAAATCACTTCTTAAAAGATCAGAATTCACAAGAAATCCTTCACATCACTAAAACATTCAAAAGAGAAATACAGGTTTTCACTCCGTTCCATGTTACATACACAATCTACCCAGGTAATTTTAACAGTTGTTTTAGCTATCAAACTTCATTCCAAGGTCAAGTTTGATAGTTATGAAGTGATGGTGTGCTTCATTTACTAGAATTTTTTTTTATATCTTCAAAAGAAAAATAGAATTTCCATTATGACCTTTACATTTTATTACTAGTTCTTCTCAAGCCAAATAAAATAAAACTTACAGACCCAAAGCAGTGTTAACAATTTTTTGATCAGAAAGTTTTTTTCTCCTTCAGATGCAACAACTAAATCACACACTCTAACTGGTTACAATGACAAAACATTTCTGTATATATCAGCAGTTGGTCAGGCTATGCTTTTTTTTTTTTTTTAACGTTCTAGGATGACATATTTATAAATTCAGTAGCTCCATCTATTATTTATCCAGGATTGATGAGGGGTTTTTTTTGTTTCTGCAAAAGTCTTTGTATATTAAATAATTTCTTTCTATAAAAAAGTTCTCACATAACCCTACCCTAAAAAGCAATTTCTCTTTAATGCACATATCACACACACACACACACACACACACACACACACACACACACCTGTTGCCATGTGGTTTTTTGCAAAACCCACACTGCTTGCTGGGAGTCCACATATATTTGCTTTCAAATGAAGAGCTATGGTCTGAACCTTCTTTTTTTATAGTAGCTATGTTGTCTGGAATGAACAATGGTGGCTCATCCAAAGAAAAACTTTTGCTGCTTCTTCTCTGGCGGGGTTGTAGGTTCTTCTCAGGTTTTTTTAGTTTCAGTTTATCTTCCTCCTTAAAATGCTCTACACCACCTGCATGTTCAAGCTCTTCCTTCACATGGCTATTGGTTTTCATCCCTGCAGCCAGCTGCTGGGGCTTATGGCATTGTTTCTGGCTGGAATGTAATAAATGTCCAGTTTGTGCAGGATGATGGGGTTCTTTAGAGCCACCAGGGTGACCATGAGGTTTATCACTCAGAGAATGAGTTAAGGGTTTGGAAACCTGCACTAAATTTTGATCCTGTGATGTTTTTTTCAATATAGAATGAGCTTGATTTTTCACAGATTTAACCCCAGAATTGCAACTCTGAATTTTTGAATCCTTATCAACTTGTTTTTTTCTCACTTTGACTGGCCTATGAAAATTTTGCTGAGTTTCTGGTTCATCAACATTTCGTTTCACGCTTTTGACATTAACCTTAGTTTTGTTATGCATTAGTTCATGCTTTGCTGCAACAATTTTTTTCAGAGTATCTGTGGTCATGTTTTGCTTAGAATGAATTACAGGTTTTGTTTGTTTGGATTTTATGTTTTTTGACTCTAAGCAAGAAACACTACTTGACTGGCTGCTTCTGTCATCCTGAAGGTTTGCTATTTCATGAGACTCCATTTTAATACTTTCAATAACATTCAACTGTTCTGAATTTTGGTCAGGTGCATCACAAATAGCATTTTCTAAAATATTACTTTCTGGTTCAAAAGCATTAGCATCAACCATCTCTAAGTTTGATTTATTAAATTCTGTACTCTCCAACTGCTTATCATTAGACTCTGTGTCATTACAATAACCCAAAGATTCTATTTCATTTCTTTGAAAGGAGTTCTTCGCTTTATCAGCAACTTCCAGGGTATTCTTCAATTCCATATTACATTCATTTACTTCATCCACAGAACCAGACAAACCTGTAAGGTTCTTTTCTGTTTTATTTGGATTTGTACAAGCAGCAGCATCAGAAGGAGAGGCAGAAGATGCAGGCTCCTCAATAATTTGGTTATCTTCACGAGATAATTTTACTGTCTCATTTGATTCTTGTTCAACTTTTCCTTTTTCCCTCCCTTCTTCAACAACAGTGCCATCCATCTTAACTGAAATAGAATCATCCTGTTCTTCTTTATCTGAAAACTTAAACAGAGGGCTACTAACAGTTTTGACTTTACAGTCCATCAGAGCTTCATTCTTCTTCTCTTCAATACTAACACAAGTCTCTGAAAGGAGTGAACAATTTAATTCATGAGATGGCACATTTGCTTCTCCCTGATTATCACACTTCTGCTTAGAATCTAATCCAGCTTCATCCTTCATTTCAAGACAAGACGACACTGAAGAATGACTTGAAGACACTGATACTTCTGGTACCACGTCAATTTGTCCAATATGTCGGCTGCTCCTTCTGCTCTCTTTATGGTATTCAGGTTTTGGTGATACAGAAACTTCTTTAATCTGACACCTTTCTGGATGTTTCACCCCTGCTTTGGGGGCAGATACAGTCTTCCCAGATGCCTTTTTTGTGCTATTTAAAGGTGCTGCATTTGAACGCTTGGCAATAGTGCTTTGTCGCAAACTTCTTACTTGTTCTATCACAAGGGAAAAAAACAAATAAAAATAACTTAGCTATTTTGCCATGTGTTTTTATTTCAATACAATTTAGAATACATCACTTCTTTATTCTGAGCTATAAATTTGCTCATTTCAGTGAAAATGTACTGAAAGTTACTCATGATGATGATGATCATACATATATATATATATATATATATATCTCCATGTTAAATTTTACATTTATCAAAGTTCTGTAAATTCTGACAGGAGAAAAAACTTCTAGAAAATTCAGACTGATATTATACTTTACTATAAGACAAGAATGTTTTCATCAAGTTTCTTTTCTGTAATAAATAAGCGGGGAGCAAAATAAATGAGTTTCCTTTACATTGATGCCCATCATAAAGCAAGACTGTCATACAGTTTTAAACATTAAGTATCTTTAAATAAAGAATACCAAACAAATTCAGGTGCCAATATAATAAGAACTAAACCACCTATAACAAACAGGATCTGTGTGAGTTTCAAAACACAGCCTCACAACTCAAACTCCTTTATGAATGTGCTTCACTTATATCACCATTTTAGCATATAAGCTATTCCTAAGAAATGAAGTATATGCTATAGTACCACAGATAAAGAGAAATTACAAGTAAAGAAGCTTAAGCCAGGAAAATATATCATAAAAGAAAATGGGGAAAGTATGAAAATAATTGAACAAAGCTTCCCACCTTTAACAATATTCCTAACAAAGAATCCACTGTATGAGTTTTTCCTCTTTTCCCTATCTGGATACACCTCCAAGAAAAGGAAAACATATGGAGTGCAAGGAAAACAGAAAGAAAGACAACTAAAGTAGATTCACTAATCAGAAAAACAACCCACAAAATGAAATAGAAAATAAACTATTTCCAAGCCTATGCACATCCAATACCTCCAAATAAACACCATGAAAATTAAATACTATCAATTACCAAAAATAAAAAGACTCCTTCCTACTCTTCAGTGCAAAACACCACTATGCACCAATACTTAAACACTGCTTATTTGTCATATACCACTTTTACTTTTTTTCTTTAATATTTATTTTTGAGAGAGAGAGAGAACACGAGTGGGGAAGGGATAGAGAGAGAGGGAGTCAAAGGATCTGAAGCAGGCTCTGAGCTAATAGCAGAGGGCCCAATGCGGGGTTTGAACTCACGAACCATGAGATTATGACCTGAGACGAAGTCAGGCACTTAACCGACAGCCACCCAGGTACCCCTACCACTAAACTTTTAAAGAAGGTATCAGGTGTCTTCACTTGTCTTTAACAGTCCTTGGTGATGCCTACAGTCTTGATGTGATTATTAATAGTACATTCTTTTATTCTCAAAAGTGTCCTAGTTTGAACAAAAAACTATCTGGTTGTCCCAATCTTAGAGACCCTTTCTAATTCCCCAAGGACTCAGCACAGTATTTCTTCATTAGGTAAACACCCAACAATTTTTAAAAATTTTGTGGATTATTGTGTGGATTATTAACTGTTCACCACATGCTCAGATATATAACATTTAAATAACTAAGAACTTAATGGTTCATTATCAATATCTGGATGAGATTTTTATGTATTTTATGTATTTTAAGCTTTGAAGACAGCTTGTAATAGTTTACACTTCTACTTTATTCATCTGCCTTGAAATAAAGTAAAGGAACTTTTAACAACCATTACCTACGTTGTCGCAAATAAATAGCATATTCAACCATAAAGGTAATAATAAAGATTAAAAAAACGTTTTTCAGGGGCACCTGGGTGGTTCAGTCAGTTATGCATCCAACTTCGACTCAGGTCACAATCTTGCGGTTTGTGAGTTCAAGCACCACGTAGGGCTGTGCTGACAGTTCAGAGCTTCAAGCCTGCTTCAGATTCTGTGTCTCCCACTCTCTCTGCCCCTCCCCTGCTCACTCTCGCTCTCTCTTAAACATTAAAAAAAAAAAAAAAGTTTTCCAATAAATCCAAACTGATTTATTGAGCCAAAGATCAAGTTGTTTTTTTCTCCTCTAAATATAAACTGCCTTGGTTGGAATCCTGGCTGTATAGGCCAAACATTATCATTACCTGTCCATACTGTTCATCCTATTCTTTTCATTACTCTAAGTTACAAGTATTACCAAATAATTGATTTTAAAAACTGATTAAAAATATATATTGAGGAAAAGATGATAAAAGTAAATAACATGCATCTAACTTAATCCACTTCTCAAAACACCACACTAAAACTATACAAAAGGCATGAATCTAAAATGAATGGAAGAACAGGAGAAAACCTGAATTTTGGAAGCCAAACAAGAGATGATCAAGAAGTGACCCAAAGGAGATAAACCCTAAGATGGCAACGTGGGCAAGAACCAATAGCATTAATACCTCAAAAGGGTTAGGAACTGGTGACCCCAGATGATTCTAAAATGAGGATGAAAACAGGTAGTTAAAATGAAGAGGAGTTAAAAGCTGTTTGAGAAGCAGTCAGACCACTAGCTCCCTCTCCCTGACTCCATCTGCCAGGCAACTGCCCTTTCCTGGTCCTAATCCAAGATTTGGAGGCTTGCTCTCTGTAAGAGTATAAAACAGGGTTTCTAGACTAAGGAACATCAGGCACAGATAAAAGTGGCAGGAAAGTACACTGAAATATATGATATTTAGTGAAGTTATATACCTGAGACACCCTGTCAGCTTCCTTGAAGGACTCCCATTACACAATCTAATTGAGCCTAAAGGAATAAATAACCTCAATTCTGACAACAGGGGTTCCTCAAAATAAAAAAATAATAATAATAAAAATAAAAAGCATAGCCAGATAACCACACAGTGAAGCTCACAGTAGACAAAACCCAACCCACACTCTCTTGAGTGTTAACCTTTTCATTTCATACAGTTTTAGTTCCCTACTCCTCAACATGAGCAAGCAATCAAGGATCAGACATTTTAGAAAAGTCCCTAACATGAAAGATGGAGAGAGGGAAAAAAAAAGACAACATGGAGAAAAAAGAAACTATAACTATGAAAGGAGACCAAAAACACCTTTTAAAACACTTTTTAAAGCACAAGTACCTTAGAAAAGACAGAAGATACTGCATCCATAAAACAAGACCACAATGCTACGAAAAGGACTATCCCGAAACAAAAAAAAGAACATTCAAAAATTAGAAATGTAAAATTTGACGGAAAAGTTGGAGGATAAACATGTGAAAATTTCACCAAGGAGAGGAAAAAGATAAAGAGATAGAAAGTAGGCAATATCAAGAAAATGGAAGGATCAGTCCTTTCTAACACTTGAATAATAAGGAGTTCAAGAAAGCAAGAACTAAGAAAATAGAGGGATTACCAATGAATAATACAAAAAGTTTTCCCAGAATTGAATAATAGTCCTTTTCAGACTAAAAGGAAATATGGAGTACCCAAAGTTCAATATATAAAATACACTTACCCTAAGACACATTATCAGAAATATCAAAACACTAGAGCTGAAGAGAAAGACTCCACAAACTTCCAGAAGAAAGTAGGTAACTCTCTACTTAAAAGAAATCAAGGAATTCCTTAAAAGGAATCAGAATAAACTTCTCAACAGCACTGAAATTAGAAGAAAATAGAGGAATACTTTCAAATTTCTGAAGGAAAACTATGTTCAACCTTGAATCCTACATTCAACCAGACTGTAATTCCAATAGAAGACCAGATTAAATATATTTGCAGACATACAGTTTTAAAATAATGTCTCCATGTTCTTTTTCCACACAAAACTACTGGAAAAAGTGTCACCAAAATGAAGTAGGTAAGCCAAAAAAGGAGGAAATAAGAACTATAACACCAAACAGAATCCTCAGAAGAATAGAAAAGGGAGATCCCTGGATAATAGCTATGCATCAGGCTTATACAGTGCACATGGGAGATCAGAAAGCTCCAGTTTCTTCAATAAAATGAAAATGACAGAACATCTGATATGCACAAGTATTTTTAGGAAAGATTTAGACACCAGCAGAGTAGTTGAGGTATTACTGATATGTACGAAGAAAGCTATGTACAAATATACAAAACTATAAAGCAAATGAACAAAAACTATTAAGTCAGAAAGACAAAAAGTTGTATAGAAAAAGTAACCTCAGTTTATTACAATCAACCATCTCTAATAGCATACAGAGTCACAATAACATAATTACTAGTGACGTAACAAAATTAGAGAATGTACTTTTGTGTGCTGAGAAGAGGAAAAAAACACTAAATTCATCATCCAGAGTGGGAAGCCAATAAAAATACTTATATCAGAATAATCAAAAAGTAGTAATACGTTACTTAGAGACATGAAACTAAATACCAAAAAATTAATAATACCAGCTGAAAGAATTATTTCCTCTGGGGAAAAAAGAAGTATTAGAAACTTACAGAATTAGTGAACCCTTTAAATTTTGTAAATATAGGGGTACCTGGGTAGCTCAGTCAGTTAAGCATCCAACTTCAGCTCAGGTCATGAGCTCACAGTTTGTGAATTTGAGCTCCGTGTCGAGCTCTGTGCTGGACTCTGTGCTGACAGCTCAGAGCCTAGAGCCCACTTTGGAGTCTGTGTGTGTGTCTCTCTCTCTGCCCCTCCCCGATTCATGCTGTGTTTCTGTCTCTCAAAAATGAATAAACTAAACTAAAATAAACTAAACTAAACTAAAATTAAATTAAATTAAATTAAAATTAAACTAAACTAAAATTAAATAAATAAATTTTGTAAATATATAATTTCAATGAAAATTTAAAAAACTATACCAACAAATTGATATAATCTCAAAATTGATTATTATCAAAATGCTGAGATTAGCAAGCACCATGAAAATATACCTCTGCTTAGCAAGGTCATGACCTATCACATGTCTCTATACCTTTGATTTTCTAGCTAGAACCTCTCTGGAAGGATTACCTTGTGCCATTAAACGAGGTGATTTTCTTGGTGACCTCACTGAATTTTCTTCTACTTTGTCCCTCAAATTCCTGTTAGGTAAAATCAGTTCTTCTTCATCAATGGTATCATTGCCACTTTCTTTAACAACACCTTCGTCCATAATATCGTCAAGACCAACAACTAGAAAAAAAAATAAAAACAAGAAAATTAATTTAAAAAATATCAAGGACCTTAAGTATATAAAGGCAGTACAGAAAACACTGTGAGACAGTTTAATGCAATACTACCATATAGGGTCATGAAAACTTAGTTCTATTCCTATTGTGTGATATTGCCACTATCAAGCTCCCAATTCAATTTTACAAACTTTTACCTTATGAGGTAACTAGCGTAGAACAGCTACAATTGTTCTTGATTTGGCCTGTGCCGTCACTCTCACTTAATATTCACTGTACCTCTGTGACTATCATAAGCACCTATACCTGAAAACTCAAGTATCCCAATTTTGGTTAAAGTAGTACAAAAGTTTAATGCTCTGAAAAGCTTGTGATTCTGAGTTCATGCTAGATGCAAAAGATTCTAGTTCTAAGTGTAATTCTATTCAAGACTTTATGCTGGATGTGTGAAAGTAATATAGGTATACCTTTGAGAGGTAGCGAAAAAACATACACAGAGAAATGAAAAATATAATATAACTTTCCCCTCTCTCAAATGCCAGGTAAAATTGTAGGGGTTTAATATAGCTATATAATTAAATTACCTTCTAGTCAAAAGAGAGAGCATTTCATTTAATGGGAAGGGGGAGATATGGAAAAGGACTGGAGGACACTGAAGAAAATATAAACACTGTATATTCTGAATTATAATAACAAATTTACTTCACTTAACTGGCTGACATATAGCAATTCTAAATGTGCAGCTGAATGAAATCTTGTAAAAAGAATGTGATTATTTAGATCAGAAGGCCTGGATTCAAATCCCAACTAAAACACTTAAATAAAACTTGACCAAGTCACTTAACCTCTCTATCAGTTTCTTTATCTCTAAAATGAGAATAACAATACCTGTCCTACCTACCTCACAGGGCTGTTGTGAGGATCAAGTGAGATGATGTATGAGAACTCACTTTGTAAACTTTAGAGCACTACACAAATGTTAGTTATTATCTTCATCCTAGGGGTTAGAAGGAACCTCAAGAAGTTATCTAGTCCTCATCTTTGTATCCAAGAAGAACTTCAATTAAAAGAGCTCAACAAGATAGTGGTCTATCCTAAAATTTAAAGAGAACAAAATTCTTTATAAATATACTTTCAAATGGTACAATCTTTTTGAAGAGCACTTTGACAACAAACAGAACAATGAAACTGCTTATATACTTTGATCAATAAATTATAAAAAGAATAAATTATGAAAAAAAAGCTGGCTAGAAAACAGTGTGATCTTTGTTAGTAAAAAAAGAAAACGAAATGCATGTGCATGTACATTCAGACAAACAAAAAAAGATTAGCAAAAAGATGAAAATCATAATAATGGTTATTCTATAAAATATATTTATTTCCTGTTTTCCACATTTCCTGCTATATCCATGTTATCACTCTCAAAAATAGTCTATGCTTTAATCACTATTCCTGTGCACTAAAACCTTAAAGAATATACTTTAGGAAAATTCATCAGGACTCATTTAAGATATAATTAGGGGAGAAACGGGTAGGGAGTTCAGTTTAGAAGGCTATTCCATCATGATGAAATACTTATGTTGCCACAGATTCACACACATTCTCAAAAATGTTTTAACATTCATTTAAAAAAACAAAATGTAAGACGTTTCATCCCAATTTTATATAAAAGCATGTATACAATTCATGCATTACAAATATGCATAGATAGAAATGGACAGGTGGGGGGGAAGCACTGGAGTATTACCAGTGATTAGGTCTAGTGGTAAGGCAGATAAGGAATTTAGGTTTTTTACATCATTGTCACGCTGTCTCTTTGTTTTCCAACCTTTTCTACAATCAGCATATATTCTGTATTGTAATCAGGAGAGAAAGAAAAAGTTCAAAAGATAAAAATAGTCCAAGAGAAAAGCAAATAAAGCCCGATTAACAGTGTTTATTGGCAGGGAGCGAAAAGTTATGTTCTGAATTTTAGAGCTATATTGCAATGCAGAATCAATGGGATTTAGCAAGCCCAATCCAAAAGTCAATTATTACGTTTTCTCTTGCTCCATCTGCTAGTAGCTTCTGACCCAGCTGACCCATCTCCCCTTCCTGAATCCCTTTCCCCTCACTTCACTTGTGAACATCACACTTCTTCCCATCTCACTAGCCACTTCTTAATATCCTTTGACAGAGCCTCTTCTTCTTGCAGATGTCTACGTGCTGGAGGACTTAAGAGTCAATCCTCCCACCTCTCATCTTTATCTACATTCAAACCTCCCCAAGTGCTCTCATCCAGTACCATCTACATTTGTATGACTCCCAAAATTATTTTCTCCAGCCCCAAGTTCACATTTAACCTCTGGAAGAGGATAATTTGACATCTCCACACGAGGTTGTCTAACAGATACCTCAAGCTTAACATACTGAAAATAAACACTGCTTCCACCCATTCCCCCCCTCCCCTAAATAAAACTGCCCCTCCTAAGGTATTTCTGGTAATGGAACCTCCATTCACCCAGTTGTTCAAACCCCAAACTCCTGAACTATCCTTAGCTCTTCTCTCCTCATATACCACATTCAGGTGATTAGCATATCCTGCTAATTCTATCTATAAAACTCATCTGACCATTTACCATCTCCACAACTAACATTCTACTCCAAATTACCATCATTTACTCATCTGACCATTTACCATCTCCACAACTAACATTCTACTCCAAATTACCATCATTTCTCATCAAGACCATACTGTAATAGTGTCCCAGGTTCTTCTACTGCCACACACCACCCCCCCCCCCCAAATACACATACAGTTTACTCCCCACACAGTCATCACGGTGATCCTTCTAAAATATGAAGTCTTATCTTGTTACCATTCTTCTCTTCAAGACCCTCCAAACTCTTACCACACCACCACACTTACATTTATGCCCAAAATCCTAACCAGGGCCCACAGGATCCTAAGATCTTCCCCAGCCAACTTCTCTGACTTTTCACCTATCGCTCTATAACTCACCCCACTCCAGTCACACAAACCTTTCCTAATACAGGAAAGTATAAGATCTCAAGGTTCTGTTACTTGTTATTCCCTCTGGCTAGGATGCTATTCTCCCAGATATCCATATGGCTCCCTCTCTTGCTTCTTTCGAGTTTTACTCAAATATCACCTTCTCAGAGAAACTTTTCCTAACAATCTTACCCAACACTCTCATCACTGCCTAAAGACCCTTAGTGTACTTTATCCTTTAAAACATGTTTCACACTACCTGATTAATATCTGTTTAATAACTATCTTCTCCACTAGAATGTAAGTCTACAAGTCAGAACTCTCTCTCTCTCTCTCTCTCGTTCAATGCTGAAACTCCAGAACATAGAATAATGACCTGGTATACAAGATGCACTCCAGAAATATTGGTTGAGCAAAAGAATTAGGGAAAAGAAGAGGCCAGGAAAATTTAAATGTTGATAAGTGAGAAAAGGTTTTCACTAACCAGAAGACAGAAGTTGGAAAGAACAAATTTGGAAGTGAAGTAGTGACTTCACTTTTTGGATATACTGATGACATTAAAAAGAGCAGGCAAAGAAGCATCAAGGTAATAAAACATCACAAAAAAAAAGGGTAAGGAAAATTTCAATGAAGTAGGGATCAGGAAGGTTAATGCTACAAGAGAAAACAAAGGAAGGAGGAAAATCCACTAATTCGACACACAGAAACAGAGGACCAGATGACAAAGGTTAAAAAGTGAATGAATAAAGAATGACAACTGCAGTCTCTCTTTTATTTTTAAGAAGTGTAATGGTAAAAGACAGAAAAGGAGTACAATCAACTAAAGGAAGTTAAAGGGACAAAAGACGATTTCTCTATTTAAGTGACAAATGGGGAAGGGAAACGTAAGGAGGTGAGGTAGGGAGAATTACCTTTACAAAAGGAGATGCAGAATGGGAAGGGAAAGAGAATGCGGCAAGAAGGAAGGAAGGAAGGAAGGAAGGAAGGAAGGA